ATAAAAATGAGGAGCATTCATACAAAGATAGAACTACCAATGCTCATAATATTTTTTTTATGAATGCTTTGAAAAAAATCCATTGTCCTATTATAATTTCAAATAAAATTTTTAATTTATTTTATTTTTTATTTTCAAAATTTATGTCAAAATTTTCTATACTAGTTATTTAGTCTCATTAGTTTCATAAAATACACATACTGTGTATTTAAATAAAATTTTCAATCGTTTTTCAAGCTTATATTCAAACGTAAATCATCGAGAGCATAAAAAACATTTCAACCAAACATAACAGAAATGAAGGAAAATGTAACGGCAAAAGTATAGAAGGGATGAAATTTCTGAGATATAGAAGGGATCAGCTAAATTTTTCGATCGTCACCTCCAACTTTCGTCCATCATCCGCATCAGACCTTTCGTCCTACAGCGCGTGCATCAACCATCGCTAGCGAGTCCGTGTCGATTTGGTCCGTCGTCCTGCCTCATCCGTTTCGGCGCCATCCTATTTTTTTTTTTTTTGCCTAACCATCATCCGCGAGACATGACAGATTAGAATCTGTGCGTGACATGACCAATCGGACGTGATCGGTCGGACGTGGCCATGCGGCGTTAGGCTACCCCTTTGAAGTTGGACCCCATGGACGTCTGTCTGTCGGAGGATGCTACGCGTCGGACGTTCGATATTTTGTAAATATCGGACGCCCGACCCTACACTGTCGTGCGCATACATATGCATATATACATGTGTTCTATTATTTCTACTCTAGTTGATTAGCTCGTGTAAAAAGTCTATATGCTTGTGCATGCATGACTGTTGTTTATACTCTAGTTGATTAGCACGTGTAAGAAGCCTATATGCTTGTGCATGCATGACTGCATAGTTACTATGCAGTACTTGTCTCAACCTACTTTTTATTTTTTTTAAATTAAATTTCCTTTTAAATTAATTATCCGATTTATGATTCGATTTCACCATTAAACTCCTTGCAATTAAATCTTTACAACAAGATCTCAGATGGTTATATTTTGATGAGAAAAAAATAAACATTGTTTCACCACTTGTAAAAAAATGTTTCACCACTTGGTCAAATGTTCCAACTCAGTCTATAAAATATTTCAGACAAATACAACATTCAAGAAATACTAAATGCAACACCGATAATGAATGTATGAAACATTGAGTCCCCATGAGTGAGACATAAAAATCTTGGTCAAATGTTCCAATTTAGTCTATAAAAATGTTTCTGAGAAATACAACATTTAGAAAATACTAACTGCAACACCAATAATCACTGTATGATAAATTATGATAAATTGAGTCTCAATGAGTTAGACAAAAAAAAACTTGGTAAAATGTTCTAACTCAGTCTATAAAGTGTTTCAGAGAAATGCAACATTTAAGAAATACTAATTGTAACACCAATAATCACGGTATGAAACATTGAGTCTCAATGAGTGAGACATAAAAATAAAAAAACAAATGACATAAAAACCCATATGAAAGATATAATATATTTGCAAATATGAAATATTATTAAAATATTTTCATGTAATTATAAAACATTAAGTTATTACATCTGAAACATTATAAAATACAAATTGGAACATTGAAAAAACAATATGTGCAACATTTACATATGTATTAGCGAAACAGTACTAGTTGACACATTTAAAAGAATAAAAAATATTTTTTCATCGGAATATAGCCATGTGTGATCTTGTTGTAAAGATTTAATTGCAACAAGTTTAATAGTGTAATCGGATTGTAAATTGGAGAAGTAATTTAAGAAAAAGATTATTTAAATATAAAAATGTATACGTGCATCGGTGCATGATTTGGTAAAGTGCTCTACATAGAGCAAGGGAGTAGTAAAGTGCTTTGCATGGAGACAAGGCAGCGGATAGAAGCATGCATGTGATGAGATAATGTTACGTCCGATATTTCATTGGAGCGTCGGACGGCCGATGCGAAGCATTTTCACTGTCTGTTCGATGTTTCGTCATCGTAGGCCGTGTTTAGTTTCTTCCATATTCTCAACTTTCCATCACATCATATCACATCAAAAACTTTTCTACACACGTAAACTTTTAACTTTTTTTTTTCAAACTCTCAACTTTTTTTAAACTTTCAACTTTTTTTAGGAATTAAACACACCCTAAGGCTTGTTTAGTTGGGGAAAATTTTTGGGTTGAGTTGTCACATTGGATATGTGGACACATATTTGAAGTATTAAACGGAGTCTAATAACAAAACAAATTACATATTCCGCCAGGAAACAACGAGATGAATTTATTAAGCATAATTAATCCGTTATTAGCAAATTTTTACTGTAGCATAACATTGTCAAATCATGGCGCAATTAAGCTTAAAAAATTCGTCTCGCAATTTACACATAATCTGTGTAATTAGTTTTTTTCTATATTTAATACTCTATGCATGTGTCCAAACATTTGATATGAGAGCGTAAAAATTTTTGTTTTGAGAAGTAAACAGAGCCTTAGGGCTTATTTGGCACAGCTCCAGCTCCAGCTCCAGCTCCACCCCTCCTGGAGTTAGAGCTTAGCCAAACAGCTTCAGCTCCACCCAAACTGGGAGTGGAGTTGGGTGGAGCTCTCTCACAAAATGTACTAGAGTTGTAGAGCTGGGTTTTGGCAGCTCCACAACTCCACTTCAGACTCAACTCCTAAAGTTATATTTAGGAGTTGGAGCTCTACCAAACAGTCCTAGTCCTAGTATCGACCGATCGCCGCCACAGCCCCACCACCTGCCGGCTGCCACGGTCGTCCCGGCGGCTCCCCCGCCGTCCTACCTCGCTAACTCGATCTGTGCGCTAGCTCTGTACGTCTCTACCTCCCAACAGTGGTTCCTTCGGATCCTCCTAGCTAGCTGGCCAGTCCGGGCGCTCTCCCCCTCGATGATGCCTTCCTGCAGTCTGCCATGCCCTAGCCTCTGCCTCACCGCAAGTTCTGGCTTGCCGCCGACGCCGACGCAGACGCAGACGCAGCCAACTGTGTGTGGTTGCGAATTGCGATCCGTCATCATCGTCTTGACTCTAGCACCTGCCGGTTGGGGCGGGGTAACTCGATCGGTTCCCTCATTCCCTGATCTGGTGTACGGCATCTCGATTGTCCTTGTGGCCTTAACACAGTATTAATTCTGTTTATAATGTTATACTGTTAGTATTAATCTTTTCTTTACCTATTATAATATTATAAGAATTATAAAGATGATTTTGTACTCACCCCTCCCTTCATCTGTCATCTAACAATCCATGCGGGAGTCCTGATCTGCTCACGATTTTTTTTTTTGCGTGCATAATCTGTTTTGGATCAGGCTGTCCATTTCCTTGCTTTTCGTCCATCGCGTGCAAGAGATCGTGCCCTGTGCGCATCAGTCACCCGTTCTAGTGTGCGCCGGATCGTGCTCGTGTGTCTCCTTCTCCCGCTCTCGCGCCAGTCATCAGCTTGCATATAGAGTTTGGCCAACCTCGATAATATCTGGCGCTTGTTCACATACCAAGATCTTGTAGCCGGCGCACGGTGATCGGACAGAAGCGTCAAGCAACACGACGCGGATGTGGCATGTGGCCGTCGACTGGCCGTTGCGTAGGCTGTCAAGAATTTTCTGTGCAACTCCAACGAACTCCTCCCGGATTCGGGATTCGTTGTCTTGGCCGCTATTTGCATCACCAGCATCTCGTAGCCAAAGGTCTTGATCCCTGTTGTTGACTTCGCTTGCATCACCTAGGTCACTGCCATTGCTCAGTCTCGATCCATCTTTTCTGTAGCCTGTAGCAAAATATCGATCTGATCTGTTGAGGATGTGAGTTTGAAGAGATAGGTGCAGCACATTCTGATGATTCCCCCCATATCAATATTCTTGTTCCAATTTGTCTTTTCGATCTAAAGTCTCAAATATAGTGTTTATCTCAATTTTGATGAAGTTCTGGGCAAATATTGTTCTCGGTGTGTCTGAATTTTGATGTAAAATTATCTGATTTTGGTGAAGTTATTGACAAATGTTGTTCAGTTACGTTTAGCTAAATTTTTAGATCAATCTAGCTGTACAATTTCAAATTATGTTCATATTTAAGCCTCGAGAGATAATGCAATGTTCATGGCTACATCTAATCGGAGTTAGACCTGTTGATGTTCGTCATTCATATCTAAAATATGTGAAAATTCAAGTTGGGAAAAATTCGTGTCAACGCACTTTTGTCAAAACACTACCAAAACCATAAGTTCTTCATCAGACAAATAGGGCTAAATTTACAAAGCCTTGCATGTCTTTTTACCACTAAGTCATCTTAAGAAAATGGGAGTAAACCTGAGCATTAGTTCAAAAACCAAGATAAAATCATAACTGAACATAAAAACAGAGTTAAAAACAGAGTTAAGAACATAATTGCCTATTGTCTTTTTAACCAAGAGTAAAAACTAATGATGCTACGTTCTGCATTATGATATGGTCAACCAAAATAGCCATCTCCCATTGCAACGCACGTGCATATTTACATATTAAGATATCAAAATTTATGATAATTTTATCATCTCTAAGAAGATATCGGAATATATCATGTTTTCTAGTATAATATTTAGTATCTTTAGATACTAGGTATATTAAGATATCAAAATTTCTAGTGTAGAATCTTGATACCTCCAAGAATCTACTCTGTACTCTTACAAAATACTATAGTGGTGGACTGGTGGTGTACTCGTGTTGAGTCTGCCCTCGTAACCACCAACTAACATGTAAGCCTGTGAGATTGGTGGATCTCACATAAGCAATTTAATTGCCAGAAAATCGCCTTTTCACATAAATAGAGGCAAAATACTTTTTTTCTTACTAAATAAATAATTGCAACGCACTGATATTTTGCTAGTTTTCAAAGGATCGTAAAATTTTTCCACAAAATTAAGTTTAGAGACAGCTTGTTCGCTACACTATTTTTTTTTTTTGGAGATAGTTACCTTGCCCTCTAGCCACTGGCACTTGTTTGATGGATGACTAGCAAATTTCAAAGTCGTGATCTATAGCCGTCCTCTTTCCGTTTGAATTTGGAAATGAAGTTACCTCGCGATTTCGTGAAATATGGAGGTGACATTGAAGAGAAAATTTGATAGGTTGATATTTATATGTGCTCCGTTCATGAGGGGGCAGTTGCCGCGAGAGAGATGGCGGCGGCGGTGCTGAACGCCCTCGCGCCGGCGGCCACCGTCGCGCAGCTCGCCGGCGCGGACGCGGCGGGGCTGGTGTCGGCGATCCTGCAGGCGGTGCGGGCGGCCCGGCGGAACCGGAGGGAGTGCCGCCTCCTGGCGCGGCGCGCGATGATGGTGGGCGACCTGCTGCGGCTGCTGCCGCCGGAGTCGGAGACGATGCGGCGGCCGGAGGTGAGGCGGGCGCTGGACGGGCTGGGCGGCGCGCTCCGGCAGGCGCTGGAGCTCGTGGAATCGTGCCAGGAGAGCGGCGCCGTGCGCGGCTTGATGACGGCGGGGAGGCAGGCGGAGCAGTTCAGGGAGGTGCAGGGCGAGATCAACGACTACATGCTACTCTTCCCCGTCGTCAGCCACATCGACATCACCCGCCGCCTCGACCTGATTTACGGCCTGCTGCTTCCTGCAGACTCTCAACCCCACCAGGTGAGGTGATTGCTCTTCCTAAATGACATTTATCGAAAAACCGGGGTTAAATTTTTAGATATCGTTGATTCAATTCCACCCCTGATTCCTCTATGATGTAAAATTGTTAATCCCTAGGAGTTACTGTACCATTTTACAATCCTTGGTAATTTCTGAAATAGAGGAATGTTAGTTGTGATGAAGGAATCGTAGGCTCCTAGCTTTGCCAGCACAACCGTTTGGGGGAATTGACTGACAGAGAAATGCCAGGGGCCTTCCGATTAACTCCACAAGGTGGTGGGGCAGTGGGTTAAATGTCCTGGGTTCAAAGCCTCACCCCTTCTAATTATTTGATATTAGGTCATTCCCTATTATTTGCGTCTTTTTTTTTTTTGGAATTGACTGAAAAGGCATCAGCGTGGGATCTGACAGAAAAGTTCATATCTAGTGGCTTGCGAAATCCTATAGGAGGAAGAGGAGGCTACTAAGTCGAGGGCCATCACAAAGAAGACCACATTTTGGAGGAGGTTAACCAAAGAGATTGCCTGTTTGTCTCCACCACACTGGGAGTTCGCCAAAATTAAGAAAACAATTTTGATGTCCATGGCATATTAGCCAAGCAACAATGGCAGCAGTGGTACCAAAAAAATATATTTAAGTGAACTAGTGGCATGAAACAGAATGGCAAAATTGCGTTGGCAAATAAGGAAACCACAAACCAGTTAATATTCAGAACCAAATCATGATTTTTTTTTCTAAAATTGTGCATGATAAACTATTGTCCTCTGCTTGATTTTCAGTGATTAACATCGTATTGAACTGTATTCCAGATGCCAGAGGATGCGCCAGGTTCACCTGGCGACCATTTTGAAGCTGATGTTAGGTTGGTCAGATGTTACCAATGTATTTTGTAAATATGTGACACACGACAGTGTTCAGATGCACATTTGTGATATTTTTAACCATGCATTGTTGTTCGAATTGTATTAATCATGCATTATGTACAGTACAATCCATTAGAATCATGCTTTTCCAAAGTCCACACAGTAAAACAAACACATTCTCTTGAACTCCAGGATAAACATCGTTCATGTATTTAGCTCTGCTAGACTACGAAGTAACATTCCTTTCTTACTCTGATTAAGGGTAAAGAGTTTTTTTTTCTTTCTAAAATAGTGAAAAGGTTTTTTCATACTCATGTGGCCAAAAAAGGAACTCTATCTTTTCATGTGTGTAACTTTCAGGAATGTGGAGATCACTGCAGCTGAGGTAATTCCGTTTGAAAGCAATCAAACTATAACAGAGCCTTTTGAGTTCGGTGAACACCATGTAGCAGGTGTGTGCTGACTTCTAGTGCACATATTTATTTATTTATTTTATTTAGATACATGAAGTAATCCAAACATTAAACAGTGTAAAGTAAAAAAAATTCTACCAGCAGACTTGGTAGGAATTATGTTGGCTAAAAAATGAAGTTCTACAAAAAAAATTCTTATACATGAAGTAATGCAAAAAAAAAAAAAAATGGCAACTGAATTCTGGGGGTCCAAAAGGAGATTTAGTGTAGGTTTTGACAATGTATCGAACCTTTTGTTCTGTTTCCATTAATGGAAATTGGGGGATGCCCTCTTGATCCGTAAAGGAAAGTAATGCAAAAATTTGTATGTTCTTATAAATAATGTTTTGGGACATTGTATCTAGGTCATCAGGAAGGTTTGGAAGAGCTGCTGTCCAAAGTGCAGAGGTTGAAATGGCTTTGCTGGTGGTCTCAGCATGATTCTCTAGGTTGGTCACAAAAGTCATCTCAGCATCCACCATGATGCGCATCCTTGTGTTGAGTACCACATCCGACATTTAAAAAGGATTCAATTATTATAACTTTATCCTGTTAAACATAAATAAACTGTTAAATTCTGCTAAAAGAAATTTTAATGCATGAAATTAACCGAACTCCATTCCTTTTGACAGAGCGTCCATCAACTTATGACTTATTAAAGGCTGCTACAAATAATTTCTCATCTAAAAGTAAAATTGCAAGTGGGGGTTGGGCTACTGTTTACAAGGTAGTTCACAATTTTCCATGCCCTTATTATATGTGTTATCGTATAAGCATTTTAGGATGAAGCTGAAAGCAATAGTCATATTTTTTCTGATTGTTTAAAATATCTTATCAATCATCAGAACATTTTTTTATAATAATCAGAATATGAATATTCTTTAATTGTGTTATATAGTTCTTGTGTTTATTAGTAAATGATAATGAGATAAGGAATTGAGTTTATGCTAAATTATGACTCTTTTTACCTTAGTGCCAGATCATCGATTGAATGACTCGAACAAAGCCAATTTGTTGGCATGCTTATGTATATAAAGCACTGCGATATATTCAACTAGATGAAACCCCGCGCGTTGGTGCGGGAGTTTAGTATGATAATAGTAGAAATAACGTGTAACATAGCTAGACGTTTTAAGCTTATAGAATTTGTATTTTTTTATCGATCATTGGAAAAAGGCTATAAACCATTAAGTTGATGTGGTTTATGATAATTTAAATGGTATATAGATTGATAATCCAAAAAAAAGTAAGGTGGTGTGACTTCATGAAAGAAGAAAATGGGGGAAATGATTTAGACAATAGATTAATCATTTAAAGGCTAGAAACAATAATATGGTTTAATGGGAGAATATAGATACTGTAGAAATTGATGGGGATATATATGTTGAAATATTATGTAAATTATGTGGGATGATGATTTAACATGCTTGAATTTGAAAGCTTCAAAATATAATTAAATATAGATGATATAACATGTTTGCATGAGGTTTAAGATTTAATAATTGCTAATGAATGATAATGTGGTATCTTTGCATATCGAGTTTTAGGATGTAATGAGTTGTAACTTTATAGATAGTATAGATAAGCTTATAGAAAACACATAAGATGCCATGGCCCAAACCTATGCATCTTGTAAACAGCATTGAGGTATACCCTTTTAGGTATATAAAGTGTTGGAAATGAATTTGTCCAGCATAATTTAACTGAAGGTACAATATGCAAAACTTTTTTTTTTTTTTGTATTTGTAGAACGGGCAAGGAATATTGTAGTTATTTAATTATTCTAATTTTGTTTGTACGTTCCCTTTATATGTTGTAACCAACTGCACACTTATATGTCTGTTGGTCCTTGATGTCTCTGGTTTGAAATATAGCCAAGCAAGATATATATGATATACTAGGAGACAACTCATTTTCTATCTGGACAAATAACTCTGTCATCAAGAATAAGTTTTAGAAAACCCCAAATTTCTTGTCGAAGTGCAGAAAATACCAAGTATTATAACTCGTCATATATAACACCGGGTTTTATAAATGTTTCTGAAAGCCCCATTGCAAATCCAATTCCAATCCTACATATTTTACTATCTTGGAAACAATAGCCCAAAACAACAAAAGAATTAAAGACTTCATCATAATTAAGTAATGTACAGTTCAACACGCATAAAGATTTTGTGAAAATGTGATAAAAATTTAAGTAAAAATATGTGATCAACATGTCACAGGGTGTTATGAGACCCTAAGACAAGAAACCTCCGGTTATATATGTACCACAACCATCAGACCCAGGGTTTTCTACAACTTCAACCATAAAACCTTGGTTTTCTGCATTTACTCTTATATTCATGTTAAAGGAGCATTTGATTTTATTAGTTTTTTTGTATGAGTGGTTCAAGGAGAACAAAATTTAGGGTCTGTTAGGCACAGCACCAGCTCTAGCTCCACCTCTCCTGGAGCTGGAGCTCAGCCAAACAGTTTCAGCTCCACCAAAAATAGGAGCGAAGCTGGGTGGAGCTCTCTCACAAAATGAACTAGAGAAGTGGGGCTGGGTTTAGGCAGCTTCACAAGTGCACTCCAGACCCAACTCCTGGAGCTAAATTTAGGAGTTAGAGCTTTACCAAACAGGCCCTTAATACCTAGCTGTGGTTTCAAAGGGCACAATGGTCACTTCCTTTGGCTTTCCTTTTTGATGTTGCAATATAGAGAAAACTAACATTTTATACACTAACAAGATTAAGGTGTAAAAGTGAAGGTAGCCTAGTCAGTGATCAAGACCCCTTTGCTCCACATGCTTGGATTTTTTTAACGTTAAGTTTGGATGTTGACGAGATTGATTTTGCATAAACTTGGGCTAATATGTATATGCATAATCCCTCATATGGTTAGGATATTCAAACACTTACAATATGCAAAAGCTTTGCTGCACAGATTGATAATCAATCTCATTTAGAGAAAATATCTTTTGACTTCACTTTCCAGGCTCAAATGCGTAATAGTCTTGAGATTGCAATCAAAGTATATCCTATGGGCACGGGAGAAAAACGTGTATTTTCCCAGTACGAAAGGGAGCTTAATTTACTTACGAAGCTTCAGCATACGAATATAATTAAACTTCTTGGACACTGCACTGGAGAATGGGAGCTGATTTTGATATATGAATATATGCCCAATGGGAGCTTGGACAAATTTATACATGGTATTCTTTCTCGGATCTTGTATACATTGTTTATTATTGAACCAATTTCCACGTATTGTATTGATCTTGTATACATTGTTTATTATTGAACAAATTTATAAATAATTGCCATGTTGCAGGCCCAAATAGAGAAGTATCGTTTGACTGGTTTTCGTGCTTCAAAATAATTCAAGGGATAGCAGAGGGTCTGCTCTATCTACACACGTATGAAGCTGAGATATGCATTGTGCATAGGGATTTGAAACCGAGCAACATTCTGCTTGATTCAGATATGAATGCTAAGATAGGTGATTTTGGTATAGCTAAAACTATAAGCCCGGCACGGCAGCAAGACACATATGTATCAGGCACATTGTGAGAAATTATGAAACGCGTGGATGATTAGATTTTATAATTTTACATCCATTAAATTCTTCTGACTGGTAATGTGTACTGATTCTATCTCTTGAATTGCAGTGGGTATATTGCTCCTGAATATCTTCGTGGAGGTATTTTATCAACAAAGGTTGATGTATATGCCTATGGTGTCATTCTTCTAGAGATTATTACTGGCAGGAGGTCCTGTATTCCCTGTCTAAAAGATGATGAGTATGTGCATTTAACTGAGTATGTAAGTAAATTATAATCTAAACGCTATTCAATCTCTAAATTTTGGGCCAACATCCAAACAAATTAAAGAAAACTGCATAATATTTTGTACACCCTCCATTTCAAATTACTTCTTGTTGTAGATTTGTCCAAGTCAAACATTTTAATTTTTAACCCTGAAGTACCTCCACGTAGAACGACAACTAATTAGAACGGAGGGAGTACATATTTATAGGACATTTTCTGAAAGACGATTCTTTTCGCAGGCCTGGGATCTATGGAGAACCGGAAGATCAGCTGAGCTTCTAGATGCAGCATTGCGCAATGAGGCTCGAATTGCTGAGATAACAAGCTGCATTCAGATAGCGTTGTTGTGTGTTCAGAAGGATCCGGCTGACCGGCCTTCCATGTTGGATGTGCTTGCGATGCTAAGAGATGAGAAGATTGTAGCTGCCCCTAAGAAACCAGGTGATCTTCTCCTTGGAGACGAAACGAGCGTAGAGTCAGGTGATCTTCTCCTTGGAGAGGAAACGAGTGGAGAGACTGCACATTGGTTCGCAAGCAGCGGCGCTACTTGCAGTTCTACTGAGTTCACGGTGCCCCGGTGAGAAGAGATTTTGTCATATTTGAAGCTGGTGGCTACTTAAGGTGCAAGTACGTTATGTATAAAGCTATTACCTTTGATTATTCACAGCGTTGCAAGCAAAATAAGCATGGTGAATGTGTATTTCAGATTCTGAGTAATTATGGATTTACCATATGTGATGGAAATAAATTAAACATACAGAAGGTGGAATGTATAGTATATCATAAATATTTTAGACAAAATTGGCTACAAGCAATATAATTCTGTGGCATTTGCTTATGGGCGAAAGTAAAAAACCAAACATTTACTGAAACACTAGCAATTTTGTTGCATTTTGCTATAGAACACTGACAGTTAAAATAGTAGCCCTGTACGTGGAAGATAGGCAGAGACGGAAGAATCAGATGATAGAGTTTGTGTCGAATACGTGTATATGGTAGGTTATAGTTTAGGACTTGGAGTTGTATTAGATATAGAAATATAGTAAGAGTCAGATTCTATTCTAGAATTGATCTTAAATAAAGAGGTAGACTTGTTGGAACCACATGATGACTTAGCATAGCGATATGTAATGGCTGCTGGCGGTGTCCGGCCAAGGGTCGTTGTAACTTTGATATACTGTATTATGCTAAATTGGGAAGTAGTGTCCGTAATTAGTGCCCCTAGGATGTAGACTTCGGTTGAACCTCGTTAATAAATATCGTGGCCCGGCCCGGTATCATTATCGTGTTTGGATCTCATATGATATTTTTCTTCCACGTAGTATACAAACTCTATTTGCGTATGTATACAAAGTTTGTATACGACGTATACAAAGTTGAATACATATGTATAAAACCCCTGAAAAAATATGCACATATACAAAGTTTGTCTACACATATACAAAATTGTATATACAGTTTTACTTTGTATAGGTGTATACAAAGTTTATATGCAGAGAAAAAACAAAAAAAACCATAAGAAACTGAAATAACCGGAGAAGAAATGGAAAGAAAAAACCAGAAAAAAAACGTGCCACGCAGTTCTGCCAGGCCCTTCTCTTCACGCGCACCACATGCATTAGGGATTTTGCCACCTATAGGAGGTATGGAACCCCGACCCGATCTTGGTGGAGTAGTTTGTTTTTACTTTGTTTATTTACGGCGGTTTCGTTCCCCCTCCATCCGAATTATTGACCATGTTCCATGGATTGTATGACATCGAATATATGTTTCATCTAAACCCAATCTCCATTGCTTTTATGAGTGTTTTTGCTCATCTGTACAAGGGCTGTTTTGGCGTTGTTACACACACATTCAAATTGTTGTTTTGAAACGTACATCTTCTAAATTGTTGCCATAATTTACACCCAGCTTGCAAGTTCGTACGCCATGAGTCAATATCATAGTTCCGAAAATATTCATAATATACATGGAGTTGTCCCAAATACACAACAAGACATGTTTTACTTGGCGTTTCAAGCACACAATACTTTATTATAGGTTTACCATTTGTTGGTCGAGGCTTGCTTACCCAACTCTTCATAATAGTGGTACAGCTAGCTGCAGATGATCAGTATATATACTGATGAAATGATTTTCCCCTTGTCAGGTCGAATGATTACCTGGCTCTAGCTTGTGCTTCCTTGAAGCGTTCTTGTGCTTCTTTCACAAGAGAAGAGAGAGATCTAGCAGGCTTGATTGCCTCATGATCATTACCAGCAAAGAACATGCATTTATCAAGTTCTAACAAGTTCTCTGAAGCCTTGGTCAGTACATGATTTCGATCATGTTCATTGAAGTCCTTGGCGCAGCTCGGTTTGTGCTGAATTGCTAGTATAGCCACCTGACAGGAAAGCTTCATTATTCTCAGACAGTCAGCTGTGGCATCGTTATTTACATCTATTATCTCTATCAGCTTCTTCAACAGTTCTCTGTCCACATGAGCAACATTAGAGAAGTCATCTGCATCAATCAGTTTCTCGCATATCACCATTGTAAAGGATAGCAAGGCCGCAAGCAATTTCTTTTCCTGAGATAGTATATCATCTTGCTCCGTAGGGGACTTGTCCTGAACGGCATCTTTTGGCGGTTGGCTTTCTTCATCTCTGGCTATTGCAGAATAGTCGCTTCCTCTCGCCTCTGTCGCAGCACCTGCATAGTTGCTTGAATCTGAACCTGCCACTGCATTTCTTTCCGTATTACTGGACAATATTAGGCCCAGAACCTGTATATAGCAGCACAAAATAAAAGTTATCTCAAAGGAATAAGAATATACACAATACTCCCTCCATTTCATATTATACATCGTTTGATTTTTTTCCTAGTCAAACTTTGTTAAGTTTATATTTTTCTATAAACTTGGTCAAACTTAAAAGAAATTTGACTAGGAAAAAAATCAAAACGATTTATAATTGAGAGAAACGATTTTACAATCGTGCCATGTATGTATATGCTGATTCAGTGAAATGAAATACCTACCGCAAACTACTATGATTCAGTGATCACACATCACTTAATTTAGGCATCAAATTAGCACTAGCAGGAAATATAACACTATTTACGGTTTAGAGTTTAGACCAAGAGGAGGAAATAGCAGAGATTTACCGTTGTCAAAAGATTGATGGCATCCTGCTTCGATAGTTGGCAGCTCTTCAGGAAGCGAGAACATAGGTGCTCCAATATTGCTGCTGCGCTAATCTGGCACTGCTTGTCCTTGACAAGCATTTCAGTGAGTTGATCAACCACGGTGCCGTATCTCCTTATATCCAAAACATCCTTGGAGTCGCCTTCACACAAGATTTCCATGATGGTCCCTGCTATCCCGTCGCCGTTACTTGGAGTTGAGAGAGATTTTACAAGCAGTTCACCTGCTTTTCTCCTCAATGTTATCCTTGTTGCCGAAGAAGATGTCCCGAAGCAGACTAACAAACTCTTCCTTGGTCATGAGCCCAGTATAAGGCCCCAATGCAACCTGTGCAAGGATCTGTAGTGCCGGTTCCTGCAGTCGAAGCCAGCGATCGTTGTTTCGCTTGATAATACGTAGCAAGTTGCTTACCATGTCCTGGCTAGTTGAGGTTTCCTGGAGCAGCCTTGTGCTGGCTTCTCCAGGAGAACTGATAAGCCTGGCCAGGACTCTGAGCGATGTGCTTAATATGTCAAACCATACATCATCGTCTTCGCAAACGGCGTCAAGGAAAGCACGTGAAGTGATCGGAGCTGTGATCTTGGACAGCAGGCCTTGGGTGTCGCATATCTCTCTGCAGTTGTGATCGTCGCCAGCGAGCCTCTCGATGATTAGCAGGATTAGTTCTTTAGCTCCTCTGGGCTTGAAGGAACTTGCACTCTTCCTCCTTTTGACGTCCTCACGGAGCCTCTCTCTTCTAGCTTCCATCAATTGTTTGGAACTGCTGACTCATCCGGTTCTTGTCCTCTTCTTATTTGCGTCCATGTTGCCTACTTGGCGATGACAAACTGACTCGTTGGTCAGCAGTAGTGTCAGTATGACTCCTCTCTGATGACGTACTGTTGAAAAGCTTGCATCGGCGAACCACATGTGTCATGCTTTTGGTGGTGTCCAGCACAATCAAGAAGGCAAGACACGGATTGCAGTGCTCCTGGGAACCGAGCTATGTGTAGGTCGCCGGCGATGCCCGCCATAATCCTTGCAGCACGCTCCCTTATCTCTCTTTCATCCAGGGTCCAACTTGTCGGGCGCGAGAGCATCGTGAGCAGATTTTGGATGGAATGCCTGGAGGATAGCATGTGGCGCCGTACAGATCTCGTCTTCTTGACGACGAACGTGTCGAGCATCCGTACTCCGGTGAGATGGTCATCATGATATCCAGACTCGAGCAGGATATTTGCACATTTCGATGTGGTTTCTTGAAGGTATCCCGTGGGCTGAAAACCCCACTACCGTTCGAACCCGCATTCCGTGTCACAAGTCTGCGCAACAGGAACCAGCTATAGAAGCCCACACCGTGAATCAGAGCAAGAGAGTAGAAGGCAAACAATGCTGCCTTGAGTTTTCCTTTGCCGGCATCATCGGAGCTGTAGTAATCCAGCTGTATGAGGCGCATCACTGATATCACGATGGACACCATCGGCCCAAACATAATCACAAAGTAACTGAAACCCACTAGAACGAATGACAATATATACCAGGGGGATACAAGTAGCCAATAAGCAACAAGATGCACAAGCAGCTCCACGTTATGTCATAGCAAGGGTTTTTAATTTTGTCACTTTTATGTACTAACGGTTTGATAGCCCCATCCAGACTGCCGATAATACCCATTATTGTGTTTTCTGTTGCCATGACAGTCTTCTCGCCGTAGTCATCGAGGGTCAAGATCCTGGTGTGCTGATTAACTACTAATATATATTTAGATTAGGGTGTGAAAGCAATCAATCATTTCAATATAATTACATAAATACTATAGAACAACCTCCCATCCACACGGGATGACTAAATAACCATCCAGCTGCACATCTTATCCATATCAGTAAATCACGTATTCTCCTTCCCCTCCCCCCTCTCTTTCTCCATCTCCCTCTATCCCTCTCTCTCCCCCTTCCCCCCTCCTCTCTCTCTCTCCCCCCTTCACCCTCATGGCTCATCGGTGGTGGGCATTATGCAGCCATCGGTCCATGTGGTCAAAGACGACCAGTGTGCTACCGTGAAAGGCCGATCCACTCGAGGTGGAGGGATCGTGGGCGTGATTCTTGAGGCTTCTTCGAGGTGGTGACAAATCAGATCGGCGAGCTTTTTGTTGGTTTTTTATGTGGTTTTTAAGCATTTGAGAGGTGATTTCTCAGGTTAGTTTAGCTCATTGATTTGAGTTAGCTAGCCATATTGAAGGATTTTGTGTGCCTTTTCCTATACTCGATTACTTGTTTTTAGGGGCAATGGAAACGTGTAGGAATGTTCTGGCTATGGGGGTAGTTTGTTCTTGTTTTTATTAGATTTTTTCTAGAGTTGAAATTATTTCTGTTGATTTTTCTTGAGTTTTCTTTTGATAGATGGATGTCCTTTTAGATATCTCAGTGATTCTCTAATAGTATCATGATACTATAGTGTATCACGTCGGTGATATCATGATACTCATGTATCAGACGTGATACCTAACGATATCATAGGTGATACCTACAAGTATCATGCTTAGTACCTGGGTACCACGGTCTAGTACCCAGGCACCAGACTTTCGATACCAAGATCTGGTACCTACGGACCCGATACCTGGTACCTAGGTATCAGGTATCGGATCTAGTACCTATAGGCATAGTTATTAAGACCGGACCGGTGAATGAACCGCTTGAGCTCTTGGTTCACTGGTTTAGTGGTCGGACCAGTGGTTTTACTGGTCCAACCTGGTTTGATTAGTAATATAGAATAAATGTTTTTCTACTGTCACGAGCTGTACAATGGTCACTTGGCTAGCGCGTGGTGCACTCAACCCATGACCTGAGGTCGAATCTCCATCCCCACCAGTTTTCTTTGGATTTTACGTGCGCCTGCGTTGGTGCCAACTAGTTGGGCCCTTCTCTCGGCCCATTAACCGAACTTGGCTGGTTCAACCAGCTCGGTTTAACCTCCGGTTCATACAAAAACCACCCGGGTTAACCGGTTTCATCCGGTCCGACTGCATGCCCGACCTTTTCAGGGGACCGGACCGGCGGGGGTCCTGGTTCCAGTTTTTACTTGGTATCAAGTCGAGGGGAGAGACGATCGACATGCCACTAGCTCTTCTTCTCCCTTCCTCTCCTCGATGCCGAGAAAGGGAGGGAGCAAGGGAGAGCGTTGCTGCTTCATTGTGTTCTTCTTCTCCCTTCCTCTCCTCGATGCCGAGCAAGGGAGGGAGCAAGGGAGAGCGTGTTTGGTATCCTAGGTACTTGGTATTAAGTCGAGGAGAGAGACGATCGACATGCCACTAGCTCTTCTTCTCCCTTCCTCTCCTCGATGCCGAGCAAGGGAGAGCGTTGCTGCTTCATTGTGTTCTTCTTCTCCCTTCCTCTCCTCGATGCCGAGCAAGGGAGGGAGCAAGGGAGAGCGTTGCTGCTTTATTGTGTTCTACACATGGTTGTGCAGGCATGTAAAGAAAAGAGAAGGGTTCATTAAATGTACCATTCTAACGGTATCCCGTACCGTAGCAGTCATGTATAATTATCTATCTATTATATATTAAAACTTTCAACAAATGCTTCTAAACCATCACATTGTGCTATAATAAATTAGAAAAATAAAAAATATTCTAAGGAAAAAAAAAGCAAAACATCAAGCCCACTAATGAAATTGGTACTGATACTTTTCGTCCATCCGGATGTTTTTTTGGAATCAGATAGGTTCGGTTGGATAGTTCCGGATATTTTCGGATTCGGAAATGAATTCGGATTATTTTTCCTCGAAAATAGAAACAAATACGGTAAGTGCACTATCCGTTGGAAAGTATTCGGAATTTTTGCGGATATCCGCAAATCCTATCTTACTATAAAGTTGATGGCCACTAACTTCTAAAGGTCAACATGAAAGTGTGCCACATCATCACACACTAGAAATTATTATCTAGAGTACTTTAAATTACATGCAAGTGTACCACATCATCACCCACTAGCAATTATTATCTAGAGTATTTTAAATATCATGCAAATATGACATATCATTTACAATTTTGTTGTATTTTTAGAACTCAATATTCAAGCAATGTCAAATCATTATCTCCACATCATTTTATATTATTTAAACATATACTTTTACCATTTTTAGAAATGTATAACATATATACATATCCCGCAGTAAAGAGCGGGGTATCAACCAGAATATTATATAGGTTCAGGTCGTATATATTTGCTGGTGGTTGGTTTTTTTTTTTTTAGAAACACAGTACAAACGCAGGCGCTCACAACGTGCGCACACTCACCCCTATGAACGCACACACGCACACCCTACCCCTATGAGCACCTCCGGAAGACTGGGCCGGCATATCTTGGACCTCCGGAAGACTGGGCCGGCATATCTTGGTTTTTTTTTTGAGAAACACAGTACCTCCGGAAGACTGGGCCGGCATATCTTGGTTTTTTTTTTGAGAAACACAGTACAAACGCAGGCGCTCACAACGTGCGCACACTCACCCCTATGAACGCACACACACGCACACCCTACCCCTATGAGCACCTCTGGAAGACTGGGCCGGCATATCTACGCACACCCTACCCCTATGAGCACCTCTGGAAGACTGGGCCGGCATATCTTGAGACTGACGAAGTCACCACAGGCGCCTCGCTGTCGACGGGTACAACGCCTACCACTGAAAGAATAATTAGCCGTAAATACGAGCACCCGTGTCAAATCTAGGATTTGAACCCGGGTGGGCTAGTTCCATCACAAGGAACCTAACCAGTTGAGCTATGCTCACTTCGCTTGGTGGTTGGTTTTTTATTGATTTAGGAAGATGGTTTTAAGGGTATATGTGGACCTATTCTAGGCCTCTATGCTAATGTTGTGTAACGCCCCGATTTTCGTTCGGGATTAAAAATCATTTAATAATGCATTTTATAGAAATTAAATAAAAGTTAAATCAATTTAATCAAGTGAAATATTGAGGGAATTAAAATTTTCCTTTAAAAATCATTGGCCGGGAATGTTTTGTGATATTCTTTGTGCCCTAAAATACTCTCTGAAATTTCCCGCGAATTTTCGGAGCTTAATAGCTAATTTTAAAGTCACAAAGCTCATTGCATCAATTTAAATAAATTGAAAACCAAAGAAAAGCTCCCCTTCCTTCCTTGGGCCGCCTTCGGCCCATGCCTCCCTCCTTTTTGGGCCGCTCGGCCGTTCCCCTCCTTTCCCTTTGCCAAGTCCGCATCACCTCCCTCCCCTCTCTCCCTCTGGCTGACAGGTGGGACCTGTGGGCCCCGCCTATCATCCCCGAGCTCCAGCCGGGTCGGCAACCGCCGCCATGGCCACCGATTTTACCCACTCCTCTCGCCGAATACGCGCCACCTCACCCACCGCATCCACCCCGCACGCGCGCGCACGCCCGTGCGACCTTCTCGCGCCCGCAACCACCCCACTCCCCCTCTATCCTCGCAAAAACCGGCCACCAATCTCCTCCACGTCGCCGCCCACTCCATCGCCGGTTGCCTCCTCTCCTGGGCTCGATCCCGCCTTCCCGAGCCTATAAAAGTGATCCTCGTGCTCCCCTCCTCCGTTTCCCCCTCCTCCCGAGCTCCCCGCGCCTCCCTACCGCCCTCCCCACGCTGCTCCCGCGCACCGCCGCTTTCCGATGAGCTCCGGCCACCCGCCACCGCTGCTCCACCCACCGCCGCGCCAATCCGCCACCACCGTCGGCTTCGCGGCGCCGTGCCGCAGCCCGGCCCCTACTCCATTTCCCCTCTCCGCCTCCGGAACACCGCCGCTTCGCGCACCACCTCTCTCCGCCGCCGCCACCGACTCCAGCCGCGCGCCACCAACGCTCCCACCGCCGTTGTGCTGCGCCGTTTCCATTGACGGCTTCTCCGCATCAAGCTCCACCCCGGCCTCCACTCCAAACCCACAAAACCACCACCAAAACACCATTCCACCATGCATCTGAGCCACTGCCGCCTCCCGTCGCGTAAAACCGGCCACCACCGCCACCCTAACCACCGCAAGGGCAAGCTCGGCCACCACCTCCCCGTCGATGGAAACTCGCTGAACGTTCGCTTCCCGTGCACCGCCGTCGCTTGTCACCGGAGTTCCGCCGCCTCCCTCCGCCTCGAGCTTCGCCGGCCGCCGCGTTGCGCCGCCACCGCCGGTGGCCATCCGGCTAGGCCGCCGCCGCCACTGTTCGTCGCTGCTCGGCCGGCCGGTCTAGGCCACGCCCGCCCTGCCCTGTGGCCGCCCGTGGACCGGCGTGGTCCTGGTCCACGGTGCGCCCGAGGCCGCGGTGGTCCGCGTCCACCGTGGGCCTCCCCCTTGAGCCGCTGACGCCTAGGGCCCGCTTGTCGATGCCACCTCCTCCCCTCGGTGACGTCATAAATGATTAATAATTGCCTCATAATTCGATAATAATTGTAGAAATTGATTTAAATGGCTCAAAACTTCTAAATTCATATCTATTTCATGCGAACTCCGAATTGAGCCATTCAACTTGCAAAATTCATATAAAATTGAGATCTACATGTTTGTTTACTTTTTATGTACTATTTCATTGGTGTTTATTAGAGTTTTTCCTCATTTTGCGTGCCAGCGTGTAGAATCCGTTGTTTCGGAAGATCGCGGTTGCAAGGAAAAGTGTTCAGAAGATCGTTTGAAGAAGCAAGGCAAGTCACACATTCCCCTTGAGCATGTTGATCCCAATTTACAAATGTTTTACCATTTGCAAATAAATATGCATGTTTTGCTAATTACATGGGATCAGGGTTTACCTATCTGCTTGCTTGTGCCATGTTTACTTGATATCTGTCCTTTGTCAACCTTGGGTAATAAATCGACTAGCTCAGGTTACTTATGTGACCTAGCTAGAACTATATGCTTAGCCATGCTTAATTACCACTAGCTCAGTTGATGTGATAATTGCAGTATTAGATCTTTTTAGTATCAGAACGACCTGCGTGCTCGAGACACCTGACCATGTTGCATTGGTCGTAATTATCCAACTAAAATACGACTGAATGGTGGGCTGTGGGTGCATGGTTTCGCTGGTCGCACCTATGGCAATTAAGGACCGGTTCGCGGGATGCACTGGAAGACATACAGCGCTTGCCACAAGCGGGAATGGGTAACTGTCTGACTTGAAGTATAGCTTTCCTCTAGCTGACATTCCTAGGCAAGAGTGGGCGTGATGGAGTTGGGTCGGCCGGGGTGTTCGGTTGATCGGCTTCTGGATTCACCGTGGCATGAGAGGGGACTGCCCGCCGCCTTGCGAGGAGTGGGGGTGAAACCTGAGGTGTGGTGCGATTGGTCAAAGGGGGTTATATGAAGGGTCTTGTCACAATCACTCGACATGGTGATGTGTTCATCATGGGCGCATGATGATGCGGTGACATGCCGGTGGATTGTGTCTTGTGGGTACAGTTGTGCACCTCTGGCCAGAGTAAAACTATTCGAATAGCCGTGCCCGCGGTTCTGGGCGATCGACCAGATTCACCGTGATTAGTCTCACACTTAATAAATCGACTCAATGCACTGTAGTTCAGGTGTGTTGGTTGGGCCTGTTCAACATGGTGTTGTGTTGATCAGTAGAGATTTAATATTACTTTAATTACTCAACAGTTTTATTGTTTGCTCAATAAAATATTTTACAACCGCCTTTATGCAAATAGCCAGGAGCCATTCTTGAATCCCCTTGCACGTCTGCATCATTGGTGTGGCTTGCTGAGTACGGTGGTTGTACTCAGCCTTGCTATTATTCCCCTTTTTCAGAAGTGTAGTGCTTCTGAGCTGAAGACGAAGTTAGGGGACTAAGGCTCAGACTCCAGTTGAGTTTTGCCTGTGGAGTGGAGCTGAAGCCCCGCTAGGATCGTCTTTTTCTGCTGCTGCTGCTTTCTTTTCGGTGTGAGGACTAAGTGCCTCTTCTGTAAGTATTTTATGCTTTATTTACATTTAGAACTGTATATTACTTGTCGTTTTGTATACCCTGGCTGGTACTGGACTGTGATTTAATACACAAAATAGTCTGAAAATTTAGGGCTAAATTTCTGGGCGTGACATGTTGTTGGGAATTCTAATGAGGGTAATTGGTGGGTGCATCGAGGAACTCATCATCTCTAGCTCAATGGTGTAGGGAGCAATAGGGAAACACCTCACACCCGATGTTGGGTGTTGACCATGTACTAATATAGCCAATAGTATGTACAAGATCCTCAATTAGAGCCATGTTGACGATTATTATAGACCAATTTTGACCGTCAATATAATTGAAATAAAGGAGAACTAGCTATACTTGCAATGCATATTTATTTTTAGAATAATCTATTTACACTTGTACTTTGAATATTTTTTTGTTTGCAGAGATTGCTACGTAAACGGAGGAGAATCGACAGAAAATAACTGAACAATCAATCGCACGCCATCGAGAAGTAGACTTATGGGTAAATGGACCGACATTTTCTGAGTTTGTATCCGTACTCGATACTATCCGTGTCCGACCTGATTCTGATTATAAAATTTGGGTTAGGATATGGGAAGGGTGAGATCCGACTGAACCCGACCCATTTTCACCCCTAGCTGCCAGGGAAGAAAAGAGATAAAGACGCATGCACCACAATTTTTTTTATTTTAATTTTGCTGACTAGGATGCCATATCAGTGAAACCGTGCATCCATACTGCTATGGGACCTAAATTGTACGGTTTTGTATAGTTTAGGGGTGAAGATTTCTGGTATTGAGGATTATGTTGGCTGGTGAACTTAATCCATTTTTTTTTTATCTCTGACAGCATCCGAAGGAGCCCATAACCAAAGCAGCCCAAAGCCCAACCGATTGACGGTGCCCTGCCGAAGTGCCGAGAGCTCGAGAGACGAATGCAAAATTAATCTGTCCGTACGGCTGAATAATCCATTCCCCCTTCCCTTTCCTCCCCCCCCTCCGATCCAACCGCCGGCGGCGGCGGCGGCGACCGGCGGCCAGAGCGAGCTCCGTCCCGATCCGGCGGGGAGGGGCCTCCCCGCCCCCACGCGCTAACCTCCCCAGGCGGCCTCCTCCTCCTCCTCCTCCGCAGCGATGGGCTCCATGGAGCCGTTCAACCGGTGAGTCCCCCCTCCGTTTCGCACGGGCCCTGGAAACTCTAACCCTAGCGGGTGGGGGGTGATGAGATGTGCCCCCACCCTCGCCTGCTTTTCGTCGCTGACCTCGGCCGATCGTGCCCGCTGATGATGATGATGATGCAGGCTGGTGAGGCTGGCGGCGCGCGCCTTCTACGACGACATCTCGATGAAGGGCGACAACCAGCCCAAGACCTCCCGCGGGGACAACCGGGGGATGGCTGTCGTCGTCCTCGACGCGCTCACCAGGTGATTGGGTCTGCTTCCTGAAGATTCTGTGGGGGGAGAATTTCTGTGTTCGCGAATTCGTATACCTAGGTCTGGGTTGAAGGCGGGGGTTTTCCTCTGTTGGTAGGATCGTGAGGGGCGAGTGGAGTTAGTAGAACACAGTTCATTTGGGTCCATCCGGAAATGAATTGATAAATTGGATACTTCTAATGAGCACACTTAGATGATATTGTTGCTGCTGCTTAGGGACATCTCGATGGATGAAAATGGTGGAGGTGTTTGCATGAACCAGAATTCCCCCAATTGGACTGTTGTAGTTAAATTTAACAGTGATGTGCCACAGCAATTTTATTTGAGTTTTGACTCTTTCTTCCTTTGACTGGTTTTATATGTTTTTTTTAAAAAATTGGAGGTTAAAGATGATAACAATTGTTAAGGAATTCTGTACTCAGGAACTGCAAATTTACTAATGGATCAAGGATAAAATCCTAGATGTCCTCTTTTCTTGGTTGTTAAGACATGTAGATTGGAGCCAACGAATGAAATGTCTAAATCCTTATAAAACATTCTTTCTTAAGAAGTTTTTATCCACAAATCTTTGGACCTCAGCACTTCAGCTACATCATGTTTGATGGATTGTTAATTTTATTTATTAGTCCTCATGTTTTCCATCCACTTATTTGTGCCTTCTTTTCCATACACATTGATACTATCAACTGATGCCTTTTATGCAAATTACATTGTCTTGGTATAAAATGGTTTTTGGCTCTGAAGTTATGCAAAAGCTAATATTTTTCCACCACCAGACGCCAATGGGTTCGAGAGGAGGATTTGGCTAAGGCATTGAAACTCCACTCAAAGCAATTGCGCCGTATCCTCCGATTCTTTGAAGAAGAGAAACTAGTGACACGAGATCACCGGAAGGAGGTTAGTTTTTTATTGCGGCTATTATTATTGAAGTTCCACTATATCTCCATTGTCTTTTTCGTTTTCTAGGGATGGACATGTTTTAACTGACATCTCCTGCGACCCAATGAAAAATATTTTTGTTGTGGTTCATTTTCCTTTTCTAATTTTAATTTTTTTACTTTGTTGCTGCAGTCAGCAAAAGGAGCAAAAATATACAGTGCAGCAGCTGCAGCTGCTGGTGATGGTCAATCAATTACCAAGGAGGGAGAAGAGAAAGTAAAGATGCATACCCACTCGTACTGTTGCTTGGACTATGCACAGGTAGTTATCCACTGGTTTTATCTAGATGTTTTTCATGATAAATACCATTCAGATTGAAGGCATTCCCTCCACAATATAGGGCCAGTAAATTGTTCTTTTCCTTTTCTAGAATGTTTTAATAAGGACGAGTTTAGTGTAGATGCCAGGGAGTGGGATACTGTTATTTCAGGATACCCATGCAAAGTGTTGAAAAGTTAGTGTGGTTTAGCATATTTTACCTATGGGGGTTGAATACTGTTTAATGTTCAATCACTTATTCCGAGTCAAGGTGTGTGAACATTGTGGATAATAAATTTTCTTTAGATTTTTTACATTTAGATAGATTTTTTACATTTAGATATTGCTTGCATGTACTAGAAAATCAGTGTTTCATCATCAGGGTTCATATGCAAATACAGTTTCTTCGTGTGTAATCTGGCTGTAGTAACTCCTATAAATGTCATTCTCTCATAATCATAGATTCATTTATTCGAATTTTTGGTGTAGTTGCTACAATTTGAATCCACGCCATTAGGAACCTAATAAGTTGCATAATACTCCCTCTGTTCCATCTTGTAAGGTGTTTTAGTTTTCTCCTAAGTCAAACTTCTCTAACTAACATTTATAATACCAAATAAACACTATCAAGGCATATTTTATGGTGGATGTAGTGAAACTAATATGATGTTGTAGATGGTAGTGCGTTTTTCTATAAACTTGGTCAAAGCTAGAGAAGTTTGACTTAGGACAAAACGGCAATATGGAATAGACAATGGAGTACTCTAAGAAACAGTACAATTGTAGATAACCAAGGCCTACTTGGTTCATGTGGTGATTATATTCATTTCTACTTGTTTCTAGAGACACAAAACCAAACATAAGAAACATGTGCTAACAAAAACTATTTTTGTGGATTGTTTAGATCAATTGTGCATCATAAATTTCGGTTGAATGGCAATTTATGAACTAGTTTGTATAAACAATATAACATAACATAACATACAAGTTAACCTTGTCATACATGTCCATTAAATTGACTTTACCACACTTTTTTGTGCATGCTGCTAATGGCATTTACAATATTACTAAGTTTGTAGTTTTTGTTTACTTCTATGTTGCAAGTATTTGAGTTATTTTATTGTTTGAAGTAATGAAGGTCTTTGATCTGTTGAGGACTACAACTACAAAACCTAATCATTCTCATTCATCTTTCATCTTATTCTGTCATCATATTTGAATCGTGTTTGATAAGATGCATTTTTTTTGAAACACAGATCTGTGATGTTGTAAGGTATCGGATACATCGCATGAAGAAAAAGTTGAAAGATGAATTGGACAGCAGAAATACAATCCAACACTATATATGCCCTAACTGTAAGAAAAGGTACTAGGTACAATTATAGTTCTTTTGATGCTAGGCACAAAATCAAGTTACTTAACCTTGTTTTACAATATGCAGGTATTCAGCCTTCGATGCATTACAGCTTATAAGCTACACCGATGAGTACTTCCATTGCGAAAATTGCAATGGTGAGCTAGTTGCAGAGAGTGACAAGCTTGCTTCTGAGGAAATGGGAGATGGTGATGATAATGCAAGAAAACGCCGGCGTGAGAAACTAAAGGATATGCAGCAAAGGATCGATGTAATTATATTTTTATTTTACAATGCTAAGAACATTTTCTTGTGAGCATTCAATTTTAAGCACTTTTAATGCAACTTATATATATAATGGTTCAACTAGTGCAGAATAAGACAAAATGTTTTTGATTTACAATCTGCAATCATACTGTTGGTTAGGCCATGATTCCATGCTTTTTTTTTGGCACAACAGGAAATATAGTAAGTTATCTGCTTGTGGTCTTTCTGGATGCTGTTGAAATTATTCTTTTTGTTTCTTCATTACGAGTTTTTGCTTGGAGAAAATTACTTGCATGCATTAGTATGCTAGATGTTCATCAGACATGAATAGGTGACCATGTTAGTAACACTTATATGTACATCCCATTATGGGACAGTTTACATCGTGAGTTCTACTTCAGAGTTGTTAATGCTTTGCTATAAACTACAGAAATTAAATATACATTAGTTTCAACTTTAACAGATACCATGATATATTTCCACAGTACCATCTAAACACTGTTGCTTCACTGGTTTGCTTATACAACTTATGATTGTAGATGTGTCTACAATCTGCTTAAAGTTCAATATAAAAATCTCTTGCTGTTTCAGTCTATTCAACAAATACTTTAATGCGGTAGACAACCAGTTCTTTTGGATGAGAAATTTAGTATTGTGATCTTTTGGATTAAAACGATGTGCCCTTTTTTTAGTGAAGAGTCTTTTCTTTTTTGCTGATAATGAGTAGTAGTCTGTCAATATTTTTGTACTAATTTGGAAATTTATGTTTGTTAGTCTTGATCTACTGGAGTTTGGTGTTATTTATTTTTTTTACAACTTCGTTATATTTGGTTCAGGAACAATTGAAGCCATTGCAAGCACAACTTAATAGGGTGAAGGATCTTCCTGCTCCTGAGTTTGGGAGCTTACAATCATGGGAAAGAGCTAACATTGGTGCTTTTGGAACTGCTGACCCTAGTGCTGCTGACTCGTCTAGGAACCCACAAGGGCAGTATGGTACACCAATGCCATACCTCGGAGAGACAAAGGTAAGATTATTTTTATAATAGTAGTTTTTAGTATTGTTTGATTTTTTATTAGTACGCAATCAACAATGGCGCGTCTTGAAGCTTCCTGAGATTGTAGGTGGGTCCAACATGTCAGGTGATGGTGGATCTAACGGGCAAGACTAAGGGAACATATCCTATGCACACAAGTTTCCCGTGCACACATATCTACAAAGTCTCATATTCAAATTCATTATATTTTAGCCGTAACAAAAAAAGTGAAAAATCTGACAGTTTTAAGGGTAAAAATCTGTCAGAATTGTCTTTTTTATTACGGCTAAAATATAATGAATTTGAAGATAAAATTTCACATGTAGGTGTAATACTATTCGAAATATGTGTACAATTTTTTGTAGAATTTTTCGTGACATTTGCTAGTTCGTGTGCACTGAGTGTGCACGGAGTGTGCACGAGAAGCTTGTGTGCATAGGATATGTTCCCCAAGACTAAAACCTGTAGTTTTGTGATAACGGAAACACGAAATCTGTATTTTGTGAGACAAGTTCGTAAATCTGTAATTTTGTGATAGATTGTGCGAAGTACCTGTAGTTTAGTGAAATTTACTAAAAAGAACTCTGAATCAAATCTAACATAGTTTCTTCTCGAATTTTAGCAAGGATTGTTGTTTTCTTTAAGAAAAGTATTACTGATCTTCTGTAAAATAATGCGATGTGTTTATTTGTTAATCCTTACTAATGCATGTGTGTTTAATATGTGCTTACACATGAACGTCTCCTGTCTTGTATAGATGATACTCGGTACATTTTCATACATTTTCAATCATGCCTTGATCTAATCATGCTTTTTACTTATTTTTCTTTTCAGGTTGAAGTTGCATTGTCTGGCACCGGTGTAAAAGATGAAGGTGCTGAATCAGGTACAAATGGTAACGGGCTGAAAGTCTTGCCTCCATGGATGATCAAACAAGGTATGAATCTTACAAAAGAACAAAGAGGAGAGACCAGTAACTCATCAAATCTAGATGAAAAATCAGAAGTCAAGGATGAGAAAAAACAGGACTCAAAAGAAGATGAGAAGAGTATACAGGTCAGTTTGGGAATGAACATAAAATCTGATTTTACTTTTAAGATTTATTTTCTGTTCAGAGATACTTATGTTATTCTTTTATTGTGTAGGATGAATACATAAAGGCTTATTATGAGGCCTTAAGGAAAAGACAGGACGAAGAAGAAGCGAAAAGGAAGATACAGCAGGAAGGGGATACATTTGCTTCTGCGTCTCATTCTGAACGGCAGGTGGGCATGAAATCCAAACGAGAGGATGATGATGAGGGTGTTGAATGGGAAGAAGAGCAACCTGCAGGTAAATTTATGATTGTAACAACAGTAAATTGATCTTTTAGGCAATGTATCATATGCACACAGTCATCTTGGTGTACTCATGCACTCAATCCAGACCCTCCAATCTCTATCCAAAGGATAAGAATGAAGAGTGGTACTTTTTCACAAAACCGCCCACACCACCCTAGTAAGTTTGCATATAACCCCTAGTTTTATTCTCTCCTCTTCCGTCTATGTCCAGGTTCAGGCTTCTCCTTTCTATCTTTCTTTCTTCCCAAATCTGTCTTTGAAACGGTGAAACCTCCTCCTTCCTCTTCGCCCCTCTTAGTGCGGCACCGACGGCATCTCAAATACAGCCCACGCTCTTTGATCCTTCTGTTTCCCTTTGTCCATGTTCTTCTCTTTCTCGTCCTAACATTAAGTTAATCCTAATCCTACAAATTAATTTCTATCTCTCTCACAGCAGTGGAATCAGTCGCGGCATTGCCATTGCCTCTTAGTTTGTAGCTAGCTATATATGGCACATACGAGAGAGGCCGATCCGTTGATGCCACGGTGCCATTCTTCGACTAATACTTATAGTCTTCCATATAGCAAAAAGCAAGCCCGTGATTAGCAGCATTGTCTCCCTTTCTTTTGGGTTTGAGAGGTGATTGAAGCATCTTTCCTATTAATTGAATGCAACAGCTTTAGTTTGGCTTGGTCAAGCGTGTACTTGCTTAGAGGATTTGAATCGTTGTGGAAGCCACACGAAGCGGGAGGAGACAACGCAGATAGATCTGGGAAGAAGCTTTGGACCTGGACATGAAAAGAGAGAAAAGAACAAAGGGGTTATGTGCAAACTTACCAGAGTGGAGCGTGCGGTTTTGTGAAAAAACACCACTTTTCGTTCTTATCCTTAGGATTGAAATTGAAGGGTCCAGATTGAGTGAGTGCATGAGTTTACTAGGATGACTGTGCACATAGGATACGTTGCCTTGGATCTTAATTCTATGTTTATCAAAGCTGCAACATTGAACTGACTTAATATTTCTGACTATTCACTTATTCGCTGATATAATAGATTAATAGCCATATCATGACTCATCTTAGTAAGACTGCCATAATTTCTTGCAATGTTGATGTGTTAACACAATTTTATATATGCATGTGTTGGGTGGGTGGGTTTGGGGCATCCTATCCATATGGCCTTTCATCTTGGCATATGCTTTTGGAATATTTCGATGGAAGTTCATACGCTACATATTTCTTATCCTTGATGTGTCTGCTTTTGATTATATGCTTTAGACATTTGAAGATGTCCTTTTATCAAGTATTATGTCTAATTTTTTGAACTAATGCAGGGAATACAGCTGAGACATACAAACTGGCAGATTTGAATGTTGAAGCCCAAGAATCTGGTGATGAAGAAGATGAAATTGACTGGGAAGAGGGTTAAAAGGCAGTCACAAATTCGTTAAAGTAGTTCAATTTCATTCCAGGAATTGGATGATGAGCAATATCACCAACTGAACAAGAAGCCAAGAAAAAGGCATGAAAAGCATTGCCACCAAAGAATTAGTTTGTATGGTTTGTTTGACCAAGGGAACTTTTCGGAAGTGAAGCGTTTTCCTTTTAATAGCGAAAACATTTCCCAACCCCAGGCGGCATTTTCTCCCCAAGATCCTTAAAAAGCTACCATACTGTAAAGTATTATGCTATTGACATCTTCAAGGGCCATGTGGGTGGAATTTATTGTCGCAAAATCAGCTCTGTTTTCAGTGAATGATCTTTTTTTTTTTTATGTTGTGAGACTGTACGCTATGGCCATAAACATGCCATTTTTCAGATGTTCTTGCCATGACCTGTATATTATGATGGCTATGCGCTAGATTAAATTTCTGAGATTAATGAATTGATTTACTCCAAGATTAATAATATCAATGGTAGTTTGCCTACTTGTCAGCATGCAGGTAACTCGATGAACGAATGGATGTAGCTAGTATGCTGCACCGAAATCTCGTGCCCAAACTGACGTTTGTTTTGTAGGATTGACACGAGAGCAGTCAGTAATTAAGCACGTAAACGCTAAAACGCATTAATAATATTCATCCGTTCCGTTCAGTTGTTAGCTGTTATCGATCAGCTCTCTTTTACCTACTTAAGCTAGTTTAATTACTGTAGTTAATAACACCCAGGTACTTGACACCATACATATATACATTGGATCAACACACCACACGATCGAGCACACCAACGGCGGCGGCAGAACACCACCACCGCCGGCGGCCATGATCTCCGGTAGCATCGACGTCCTCGCCGTCGCCTTCGCCGTGGCAGCGGTGATCGTCGTCCCGGTGCCCGTGGCGGCAGCGGCGGCGCCGGCGAGACTGGACACGTACCTGGTGCGGATGGTGAACCGGATGGAGAGGAAGATGGAGTTCGACTGCGACGAGTGGCCCGACGATTTTGAGCTGAGGGCGAATGGCGGCGACATGAACGTCACCTACGAGACCGCCGACCGCCCCGGCTACGACTACCTCACCCCCAGGGTCTCCTGCATATGGTCGTAAGTAGATGCTCTCCATCTGTCATAAAATAAAATAATGTAGTTAGATTATTGACAGAAATAATGTAGTTAGATTATTTAAATTCGTAGTAGTATAATGTGTAACTAGATTTGTTTATTTATTTTAAAATGGAGATAGTATTAGATATAGACACGGCTACTCCAACTTACATTAATTACTTGATCGATCATTACAATAAAATCTTTTGAGGGACGATCCGTGGTTCTTCGAAAGTAATTGATGTTGGTAGAGTGCTATATTATTTTATATCTCTTCATGGTTTTCGGGATGTCACTTAGTTTGGCCAAAAGTTTTATTTATGTTATGAAAGTAGTATTTTTAACTTAAAATCCAAATTATGGTTTCTAACTATAACTCCAAATCTATTTCAGATTCAAATCTCTACCAAACAATCTTATTTAAGATTTCGTTTGGCACAACTCTAGATCTTAAATTCACACTGAATTTAGACCTTATAAGTTAAATTAAATTGATTTAAATTTTATATTCCTTCTGAAGTAAAAACAAAATGATTCATTCAAATATTATCAATATACTCATATATTCAAATCGGTGAATTTACGAAGCTAAAAATATTACTATATTTATCTACAAAGTTAATCAAACCTTATTTCTATATTTATTTTCTATATTTATGAACAAACTTAGTCGAACCAAGAATAGTTGGATCTAAAACGACGGAGGGAGTATCATGTGACTCGCAGATACGAGGGGAACTACATGAGCAGCGTGATAATCTGGGACGAGGAGAAATGGCCGGAGAAGAAGGCGTGCCTGGTGGGGGGCGGCAGGAGATGCGAGCTGGTGTTCGAGAACAAGGAGGAGGTGCTGGTGGTGACGACGTCTTCGCCGGCGGCGCCGGGGACGGGGTCGTCGAGGAGGGTGCTGGGCGACCTGGCCGTGAAGGACTGCAGCACGCACTGGTACGGCCACCTCCTTCCCTGGGGCGCCGGCTGCACCTACCCCAGCCACGACCACGCCTACGCCGGCGCCGTCCACAGCACCTGGACCGCCGCCGCCATGGCCAGCACGATCGGCCACTGATCCATCGCGGCAAAAAAAAAAAAATGTTGCAAGAAGATGATCGATCACCAGGAGGAAATATATGCAGAGCTGGATTGGTTTGAGGCCTAAATTACGCTTACCAATATTTGGCAATTTTAATAGTGTTTAGTGTCTATTTGTTTTGAAGCCAAATTTTGGCATGCCTAAGAAAATAGGCCATTTCATAGTGAGCTTAGACTATTTTGGCTTCAATCCAAACACAATTTTGCCTTACCAAAATTAGTCATACCAAAACTTGCCAAATTTTGGTATTGACAAAATTTGATAAGGCCTATTTAGACCACAAACCAAACCAACCCGTAAATCTCTCTAGCTATCTCTCACGCAGATCACGAAATTTCACGGAACCCCCGATCGATAGTAGTAGGTATAATAATGGATCAAGTTGTTGTGTAAAACATAGGGGATTTTAATTTGGTACGTGACGTATGACGATCTCTATTATACTATGGCTTTAGAATTTCACAAGTTTCGTCCCTGCCGGCAGAAAGAACAAGTATCTAGTGTGTTGGTTTTTCCTTGCTTTCTCTGGCACGTTCTGATAAAAAAAAACATCATATCAAAACAAGGAGGATAGGCAAGTAAAAGGTTTTTTGCGAATTTATGGTTTACTTTGATCAGGTTCATTACTCCACCCCGAGATCATCATAGTAGTCGCCGGCGCCACTGCCACCACCACCACCAGTCCGCCAAGGTTTACAAAACAATACGGTTATCATGGTTATCACGTGCGGTAACATTCTCAGTTTTTAAAACCACAGTAAACCTTGTAGTAACCGTCTTACCGTGGATCGGTAACCGCACCCAAAAACGGTTTGGTGAACCCTAGCTGCCGCCTACTCGCTCCCGTCCCCTCCACCTCAGCCACCGGAGAAGATGGGGCGCCGGGGGGGGGGGGAGAGATGAGGATAGGGAGTGGGAGTGGAGTGATGTGAGGTGGAGCAAAGGAGAGGAGAAGAGAAGTTAGAATCTACAAAGTGCCAACATTGTTCAGGAGGCTAAAGTGCTACTGTCTGGAGAGCGAGAAGTTAGAATCAACAGTCTCCCGTAGTCAAAACTGTGTAAGCCATTTCTTGACAAATAAGTCTAGAGTTGATTCAGTTTATGGTTTTTGGATGGGTGAGAGTTGTAATTTTATCTCGTAACTTGTTTGCGAGGACGCTAGTTTTGAGTAATATATTTTCCCCTTCCCCGCAAAAAAAAGGGAGAGGAGAAGAGAAAAAAAAAAGGTGCATGTGAGCGGAGAGGAGGAGAACGAGAAAAAGGTGAAAGAAAAGTAGTGTGTGGCCGGTGCAGGAACGCGTGGGGTCCACTTGCTCTTCACATTGCTCCATAAGTGGTTCGCTTTGCAATAATGCACGTATTATCGTTGACGGGTCTCTTAATAGATCATCTGTGAAAATAGTTTTTTCATGTGGTCCTTGAGCCATTTCCGGGGAACGATTTTTACATGCAGAAGTAGTTTTGGTCCACCTATGATTTGCAATTTGAAGGATCTTGTCCGGAAAAAGACAATTTTGTAGTTGTGTTAGTTCAATGGGATCGAGCTAACTTTGGAGCATACAATTTAGATATACAGTTGCCATTAGAGGCGATTTTTAGCGTACTAATTATGGTAGTAGCTAGGTCTCGATACAAAATTGCAAACAGCTTCCTGGCATATCCTCGGGCTCATTTTAAGTATCCGTTAAATTATCCAGTTTAATTCATAGCACTCAATATTTTACTAATAAAAACTGCGTGGAATCACTCCTATCTTGTTTTAAATGTACGATGCTAATAACATTTGGACATGACGTTTGACCATTCGCATTATTCTATTTGTCCTCTATTAGTCCCTGAGTCAACATACTTAATTAGGACAGATAAATTTTGCTATAGGACACTACGATGACTTCGTGGTTTTAGCTCTAGAACACATCAAAAGTTAATCTTTAGGGGAAGACGCTCTCAAAATGTGATTATTTGCTGATGGACACCGTAGACATTAAAATATTAATTTTCGGTTGATAGGAGAGATAAACATCGTGAAATGTAAAAAAAATGCCCCTTGACCCACTTGTCATATTCTCACATTTCACTCCCTCTCACACTCCGGCCACAATACCTCCTCCGCTCACTGCCGATGACCACCAAGGCCTTCCCTCCTCACCTCCTCCGTCTCCGCCATGGCGGTGCGAGTCGGCTCCCTTATGCACGCGGCCGCTGGCATGGCATGCTCCCTCGCCCGACTCCCCGGCGCGTGCTAAGGGGCAAGGGCGAGGCGCTGAGTGTCGTACACATGTCGTCGGCTCCGGGGGCCTCTGCCTCCCGCCATGGCACCACAAGTGATGGAGTCAGAGGTGGTTGCACGAGCGCTCGTGTTGCTAGTGGAGGCGCACCTGGGCGGCCGCGCTGCTATTCACCTCGACAGTCTTGCTGTTGCTGCTCATCTGCTCTGTCGCCAAGAGCCGTCGGCCCTAATAAGCTACCTTCGAGCAGAGAAGATGGAAACAAAGAACGGCGCCAACGAGGTGGGGAGGAGAGCGGCTCCTGCTGGGCGAGGGGGAGGGAGAACGGCGTCGACCGGTGGGTGAGGGGAGGGAGTAGCTGGCTAAGGGGATCATATTGAATAAGAGAGATGGAAAGGGGTAATTTGGTCACTGCGTGTCAAAAATGTGAGTTTGCTCTCGTCTAGTTAGCACTAAAACATAAAATAAATGGGCTCGGTGTTCACTGGCAAATAATCAAGATTATAGTGGCTTTCCTCAAAAGTGACTTCGTGTGTTGTCTCACAGCTAAAATCACAAAGTCGTAATATCCTATAGCAAAGTTTACCATTATTAGTAGGCAAATTTTGATAGAGGACAATGTGACTTCGTGGTTTTTGCTCTAGGACACGTCAAAAGTCAATCTTTGGGGGAATGCACTATCAAAATGTGGTTATTTGCTGATGGTTACCGCGGAGGACTACTGGGCGGAGCATGCAATTCATAGGCCAGAGTTAGCAGCGTCGGCTGATGCACCCATGTTTCGAGTTGGTGCGTCGACGGCGTGGCAGGAGGCTTCGCCCGCGGATCTGCCACCCTTGCGTCCTCCAGGCCGCCACCTCGATGCTAGCTCCTCTGCTGCGTCGATGCTGGGAAGGGAGGAAGGAGAGGAAGAGAAATGAGGGGCAATTTGGTCACTCGCGTAAATGTTTAGGCCCACTTTCGCCTCGTCGGCACAAATACACTATTTTAATCGGTGCAGTGTCCGTTGGCAAATAACTATGTTTAGAGAGTGCTTTTCTCCAAAAGTGAGTTTGTGCGGTGTACTACAGCTAAAACCACGAAGTCGCGGATGTCTTTGTAGCAAAATTTGCCTAGGATTTATCCCCTATTAGTAAAAAAAGGGACAGATACGATCATGAAAAATATGTCGTCAGCCCATCACCAAAAACGTAATTTAATAGAGGTATGAAAGTTATCATCGAGATTTATTGTACTACCTCCATCTCATAATACTTGTTGTTCTAGATTGTTTAGCATGTATCAAGGTTAGGAAAAAAGATTATAGTACCCCTTATTAAATAATGTATATTGCATGTTGGATGATAGTTGAGGTAGAATAGGCCTTTTTTGACAAATTGGTCCTTGTAGAAAACTTATTTTGAAACTAGTCCCTACCAAAAACTAGAGAGTCGGCTCAGCGCCAACAATATAGCTGACCTGATGTGGATTCGAACCTTGGTGCTAGGGTACACAAGCAAATGAACATACAATTGCACCACAAGTACATTGCTTATTAATCGCCGTGCATCAGTCTAATTAGCGTGTACAAGGAGTCAGCGCCAAATGCATTGGCGCTGAGGCCCTGCCACGTCGTGCCTCGCCCACCACGCTGGCACGATGTTAGCACCAACCGCTTTGGCGCTGATAGTTTTTGGCAGGGACTAATTTTGAAATAAGTTTTCTATAAGGATCAATTTGTCAAAAAAAAGGGTAGTATAGGATGAAATTTGAATTGGAAGTGGGTTATGTGTTACTGTTTTGAGATAACTTTTGGATGCTAGGAAGATCGGTATTGTGGGATGAAGTAGTACTACATAGGTATTGTGTAGATTGATGGCAATATCATAGGAGTATCATCTAGATTATAGTAGTATATATATCATAAAGGTTGACCAGACTGTCCTATGATGATGCCATAAATATATCATCACATTTTATAGTGGTTCAATTGATGTATCATGATATCTATCGAGAAGGTATATAAAGGTTGACCAGGATTGTACTATGATGATGCCATAAATATATCGTCACATTTTATAGTTGTTCTATGAGTAAAATACATGGCCGGTCCTTAAACTTGTGGGGCGGTGTCAGGGTTATGGATACCACATACCTAATAGTAGTCGACTAAATCTCGGCAGAACCCACCATATACCATGTCTTATACGGGAACAACCTTCGGATATAGGAGGAGTTCCGCATAAGGAAGGATATGAATAGAGTTCTACATGGAAACGACAAGGACTACTCGGATTGTATCCATATTGATCTCCCTAGTTCTACTTGGACAAGGGAACACCTATAGGTATAAATACAAGGCCCCCTAGGAGGAGAGGTGACACGGAACAATAGATCAAGACAAAAGATCAACAAACAAGCCAACACGCCCTCCAAATATCAATATCAGAGATTAGCTTAGACAAACCCTATCCGGTACCTACGGGGGCCGGCAAGAGGGGTCAAGCACTATCTCTGATCTCGACGAGTTCGTGTTCGAGGAAGAAGACTACCCTGTCGTCGACTACGAGTTGGTTATCTAGCCGTCAAGTCGACTGACAGCCAGATATGTTATCCCACATGTTGTATTTGTGTGATCCAGATGAATAAAGAGCAACACCAGTTTCGGCCAACAGGATGTAGGGTTATTACCTGATAATTCAAGAGCCCGAACTTGTATAAAAATCCTCGTCTCCGTCTTTTTTACTACAGTCTCGCATATATCCTAGTACCAACGATCCCCATACTATGCAAATACCGGAATCGCGACATCAAACGTTGACAGGCGGTATCACTTAAGTTCATAAATTTAGAATATGCATGTTTAGGTCTACGATCTCGTTTTAATGTACCATCCCGGTCTAATCCGCGGTTGACCGCGTCTTACCGCCAGCGCAGTACATTTGCATCTGCCCCCCTCCACAAAACGTAGGCATTAATATCATCCCTAAACACCATCATGTGATAAAACGATCCATAACAAAGTAGTCTTCAAATGTGAAATATGCAGTACCATTGTGTGGAATTACAGATAGCGCAGTAGCAACCTCAGAGGCTTGATTTAAAATGCAGCAAATAATGTTGATCGAAGATAGCTCAAGTGCCTTTGATTAAAACAACAGGACAAACCACATTGTTGATGCAGTAGTTGCTCACACTTCTGTAGAACATTCTGTAGAACAAAACCAACTCGGAATTTGAATCAGAAACCAAAAAAAGATGATTTATATTGCAGGGTCTGTGTCAGGTTCCAGAAATCATCTCTCTTGATTAGGCTAGGAATAAGAATAGTATCAAACAGTGATGTGTGTTGTCGAAGCGACAACTGCATACGTCGAAAGACATGGTTACTCAATAGTAGTCGGAAAAGAAGTGAAGTGTATTAAATTGAGAATTTTTCTTGGGGCCCCCCTATTACATGGCCCTATGAGACTATTTATAGCCCCATTACAGGTTCTTACTACTAGGGTTTTGGTTATACAGGGGAATTTACATGGTTACCCTTATGAAAGGGACATTTACATGGGTACATAATGTAATTGAGGTTCATGGGCCCTTGATGGGCCGCTAGGCGATCGTCGGCCCAATAGCCCCTAGGCTTGATGGGCCTGAATAGCTTCTTCGGTCCTCGCGGGGGCGAACTTGCTATGGCGAAGTCGTCTCCCTTCGGCATATACTCTTCGCCCTACATCTTTTGCCCAAGAGGCCTCTGGCCCGGCAAGGTACCCGCGCGATTCCCCGCCTCTCGCCGTCCTTGTTCCATAGCCTTCGCCATGGGGGGGAGGGGGGGCTTCGCCCTGACTAACCTTGACGTCTCGGGCTTGAATCCCCACTGGTCGCGTGGTTTCGGCAGGTTTTGTCGAAGGGCCTGATGCCATACCGCCAACAATGTGATTACATGACTTTTCAAGCCTGGCAAGCACATTTTTGACAGAAACAAACACAGTCCTTGGTTCAAATTCAACCCACGATACACAGGTGCTGGTTCTCTATCTGCTCTAAAGTTGAAGTCCATCACCGCCGCGCCGACGATGTAGCCGCCACGCGCTGGCCCTCATGGAGCCCAGCGACGCTGCCTCTCCGGAGCCCTACCACGCCGATGCCCCTCGCGGAGCCCAGCGCCTCGCTGCCTCTCCCGGAGTCATCGAGATCGCCCTACTCGCTGCTCTCTCCCTTGGAAGTGGAGAAGAATGCAATGGATTTAGGTTTGCAACAGTGCCTACGTTTTGTGGAGGGGAAGGATGCAAATATACTGCCTGCGTGGCAGGCGGTCAGAGGTGGTCAACCGCGGATTGTACCGGGATGGTACATTAAAACGAGATCGTGAATCTAAATGTACATTTTCTAAGTTTATGGACCGGTCATGTATTTTACTCTTGTTCAATTGATGTATCATGTTATTTATCTACAAGGTATTGCCAAGATTTTGTGGGCAATATCATGGGCATATCATCCAAGTTTATTTTTTTTCCTAAAGCTATTCTTAATTGCCAGTATTTTTTTTATAGCAAATCCCTTTTTATATCATATTATTCTGATGTATCCTTGATTTTAAAATTTTAGATATTTTCATGGCAGTACACACTCTCTAAACATTGTTCTTGCCGGCAAAAGAATTGTTTCAACTTTCAACTTTATATTTGTAACGGTGGAATGCTCTGCGCATTGCTGAAGACGTTGGAACGATCGATGAGCGTCTTGGCCCCGACGAGCCGTTCGAAGTTCGCCGGCGAGAAGTACGCCGAGCCCCACGTCGACCGTGCTCGGCTCACCGACGACGACGGCGAGGACACGTTCCCGGCGAGAGCATTGGTGCCGAGGTCGAGGTCCACGTAGTTGACATACGCGGCGCGCGGGTTCTTGGACACGTGCGGCGCCATGTACGCGTACAGCGCCCGCAGCCACGCCATGCGCGCCTCGCCGCCGCCGCCGCCGCCGCCGCCGTCGTCGCCGGCCTCCCACGTCACGCCGTACTGGACGCTGTACAGGTTGCCGGCGCGGTGCGGGAACGGCGTGTCGCCGCTCCCCTCACGCGCCATGGCGCCGCCGTAGGGGTCGAGGATCACGTACCCCGCCGGCTCGCCGGCGAGGTACCGGAGGATCGCCGCCACGGCGCCCCTCGCGATGGGCGACCGCACGTAGTCCGACTTGCTCTTGGCGTAGTGCTTCGTCCTGGAGGCGCGGCTGGTCAGCTCCTCCGTCGAGCTCAGCCCGGCGAACCTCGCCGCCGACTCCACCCAGCTCATCTCCGACATCTCCGGCTCGGCGAGGCCCAGCTCCGGGAACCTCTCGCTCAGCACCGACATGGCCAGCTCCTTGGAACCAAGAACCAGCCCTGTGAAGGACACCGTCACGTTTCCATCTCGTGATGGCGACGACGAGCTGGCGCCGCCGATGGTGAGGAAGACGGAGAGGTAAAACTCGTCGGGCAGAGCTGAGCCGACGTACTGCCACCGATGCACTAGCCCGGCGATGGCGTCCACCGAACCGGTCCTTTTCGGCGTGAACGCCGTCAAGGTGTTCGGAACCTGGACGAGCCGGAGCTTCCAGGCGTAGACCACGCCCCAGCCGCCGCCGCCGCCGCCGCGGATCGCCCAGAACACGTTCTCGCCCATGGAGCTCCGGTCCAGGACCCTGCCGTCCGCGTCGACGAGGATCGCGTCCAGCACGTTGTCGGCGGCGAGCTTGAATTTGCGCGACAGCAGCCCGAACCCGCCGCCGGAGATATGCCCGCCTGCTCCGACGGTCGAGCACGACCCAGCCGGGAACGCAAGGGAGGACGACGACGACGCGACGGCGTAGTAGATCTCGCCGAGCGTCGCGCCGGACTCAACCCACGCGGTGGCCGACGCGGCGTCGACACGCACCCTGTTCATCCTCGTGAGGTCGATCACCACGAAGCGGACGCGGTCGGCGTCGTCGCCGCCGTCGCCGACGGTGTACGAGAGGCCCTCGTAGCTGTGCGCGCCGCTGCGCACGCGGATGCGCAGCGAGGCGTGGCGCGCGCACAGCACCGCGCTCGTGAGCTCGCTCCGGCCGCGCGGGAGCACGACGGCCGCCGGCCTGGGCACCGCGCCGGCGGCCGGGAGCGCGAACCGGAGGTTCTGGATGGAGAAGTTGAGCAGCGCGTCGTAGGCCGGCGACCCGGCGAGGGAGAAGTTGCGGACGCCGGTGGCGAGGAGGCACGACGGCAGCGAGCCCGCCGCTGCTCTGTCGTCGCAATGCTGGCCGGCGGCACACGCCTGTCAACGGTGGCGGCCATGTCGAGGACGAGGAGAGCAAGGTGAGGAGGAGGGCAAGAAGCAGAATGGTGGTGTTGCGCATGGCTGATCTCACTGCTGTGCTGTGCTTAAGCAAAGAGGAAGTCTATATATAGGACCTTTTTTTTATTAACGATATACCCCCTTCAATTTTATTTTAATTAACGTTTTAGACAATAACACGGTCTACAAAATATACCTTTGACCTTATTTCTCTATTATAATATATATAACTAGTATGGTGGCCCGCGCAGATTGCGCGGCTAGCATCATTATATTTTCTCTCATATAATAGCATATATGTTTTCTTATTATATTATTAAAATATATTACAATGACAACATAATTTTAAATTTTGCAATAACTTTACGAAACTACTAATGTGTAATATTCATATTGTATTTTATATAAGTGTTAGTTATTAATTATTTTTAATATCAAATTTTAGTTATTTGTAAATTATATATATTTCTATATGAACTCTAGACTTGTCTTTTAATATTTCTTTTTTTTAATTCTGAATTTTTATTATTTATAATTGTATTTCTATGTAGACTCTAAACTCATCTTTCAATATTCTTTAATTTTTAAATTTTAATTTCAAATTTCAGTTACTTCTAAATTGTATTCCTATATTGACTTTAAACTCTTCTTCTCATGTTTTTCTTAATTTCGAATTTTAGTTATTTATAAATTGTATTTTTATACGGACTCTAAACACTACTTTTTATTTTATTATGTTTATTCCGAATTTTAGTTAGTTTTAAATTCCTATATGGAATCTATACTCTACTTCTAATATTCCTTATTTTTTAATTCCGAATTTCTATTTTTTTCTGAATTGTATTTCTATATGGACTCTATACTCTACTTCTAATATTTCTTATTTTTAATTCTGAATTTTTGTTATTTCCTAATTGTATTTCTATATGGACTCTATACTCTAATTCTAATATTCCTTATTTTTATTCCAAATTTCAGTTATTTCCTAATTGTATTTCTATATGGACTCTAGTATCCTCTTCTAATATTCCTTATTTTTTAATTCCGAATTTCAACTATTTCTAAATTGTATTTCTATATGGACTCTAGTCTCCTCTTCTAATATTCCTTATTTTTTGATTCCGAATTTCAGCTATTTCTAAATTGTATTTCTATATAAACTCATCTTTCAATATTCTTTATTTTTTAATTTCAAATTTCAGTTACTTCTAAATTGTATTCCTATATGGACTCTATACTTTACTTCTAATATTCCTTATTTTTAATTTCGAATTTCAGTTATTTCCTAATTGTATTTCTATATGGACTCTTGTCTTCTCTTTTAATATTCCTTTTTTTTTAATTCCTAATTTAAACTATTTCTAAATTGTATTTCTATATGGACTCTAGTCTCCTCTTCTAATATTCCCTTTTTTTAATTCCGAATTTCAGCTATTTCTAAATTGTATTTCTATATAAACTCTAGTCTCCTCTTCTAATATTCCTTATTTTTTAATTCCGAATTTTAGCTATTTCGAAATTGTATTTCTATATAGACTCTGCTTTTTCTTTTTCTCCGATTAATGTGAGAATTTTTAGGTCATGAGAGCGAACGTGGAGGCTCCTTTTTCTATTCCTTTAATAATATAATACATTTCATCGCCGGTCCCTAAACTTGTACAGTTGTGTCATCCCGGTCCCTAAACTCGCAAATCGACCGTTCATGTCCTCAAACTTGTTCGACTATGTTATCCTGGTCCCTCGTTTAGGTCCTCCAACTTGTTCAGTTGTGTCACTCTGGTCCCTAAATAGGATGGTCTAAAAACTTTATTTCAAAAAATAATTCATAATATTTTTATGTGAACTCTAATGAAGACAAACTTTATATTAAAATTGTAGCCGTCGACGCGACCTACAACTTTGTAGTTGAAAAGTTTTTGAATTAAAACTGTTTAGGGTCCCAAAATATTGTTGCATGTTTATAGATTTTGAAATTTTAATTTTAAAATTACATTTTGGGACAAAAAATGACTTAGAATAAAAAAAATCAACTACAAAGTTGTAGGTCGCGTCGAGGGCTACAAGTTTGATATCAACTTTGTCTTCATTAGAGTTCACATGAAAAAGTTATGAATTATTTAGACCGTCCTATTTGACCCAGATGATATTCAAATCCAAGTTTAGGGACCGGGGTGACCCAACTCAACAAATGGGAGGACCTAAACGAGTGATCTGTAAGTTTAGGAACCGGGATGACATAGTCGAACAAGTTTGAGGACATGAACGGTCGATTTGTGAGTTTAGGGACTGGGATGATACAACGGTACAAGTTTAGGGACCAGTGATGACACAACGGTACAAGTTTAGCAGAATGGTGGTGTTGCGCATGCCTGATCTCACTGCTGTGCTGTGCTTAAGCAAAGCGGAAGTCTATATATTGGACCTTTTTTCAATTAACTATATACTCCCTTCAATTTTATTTTAATTGACATTTTAGACAATAATACGGTCTACAAAATATATCTTTGACCTTATTTCTCTATTATAATAAATAAATGTATGTTTACTTTTATTACAATACTTTGAAAGATAATTCTATATATCTTGTTCTAGTTTCTTTAAACTAAATATTTTTAAAGCTATTAGTGGTTAAAGTTATAAAAGTTTGAACTTAACCTTGTTTAAAATGTTAAATAATATGAAACAGGAGGGAAGTATAAGACATTGGGACAGTAGTATATCCCGTCCCTGAAACGTAAGACATTGGGACAGTAGTATATCCAGTCCCTGAAACGTAGGGCATATGCCCAATACCCTATTGGCACCAGTGGCGGTAGTGGTGGTGTCGCCAGGAAGAAGAGAGCCGGCAGGAGAGGTGGCACCGCGCTAGGGAAAGGAAGAAGAAGATGACGAGGGGAGGGGACGGGTGGGTGTTTATATATATTTATGATTTTTAGGGGTATACTGTCAGACTTATATGTGAAAAAAAAACCTAATGATTTAAATGCAAAATGCAACTGACTGATATGGCTGAAATGCAAAAAGAAAATACAGGTGTGGCTCGTACTGTGTAAAGGGTGTCACAAGTATGATTTCATCATACTTGGCATCTCCTTTTTCTCGTAGATATATCTTCCATTGGCTATATGCCCTGAGAATTGCTCAAACGTCGTGTGAAACATGTGTATTGTGGAGGCTATTCGCATACTGTACCCTATTCGCTCCCTTAAGAAAACGGTACTATTACCGCTATTAGTTGCAATTTGATTTGTTATTTTGTTTAATTTGAAGCTTATTATGAGCTAGTCAAACTTATGTATATATAAGTGTACGTGTTAATGCAAGCAGATATCTTTATGTTTCTGATGTGTATTGGTGTTTCCGTTGCTTTTCTAGCATATTCTTCTGTTGACTACATTCCAGATTTGTTACTTGATTAGGCAAGCAAAAGGATTTGTGCGAATTTAACTCAATGGGGATTAACTTTGGAGCGTGTAGGAATAAGGTGTTCTTGGATGCTACTAGAGGCAATTTTAGCTATACTTATCACAGTGCATTAGCTAGTCATACAATTTTGCTGATGCTTGTGCATATGCATGTGAGGTTCGTCCCTGATGAAAATCACTATGCATACGTGGAGGTCAAACTACGTCCTTACATATATGACTTTGGGAGCTTCTCAACTTTTGGAGGATTCACTATGAACAGCATGTGTAAAGGGTATGAGAGTGGCTTAATAGTCACTACTGGAGAAATGATCTTTGGTGGGTCGGACGATTTCCACAATAGTCCCAGTTCCAAAAAGAACCGGGACAAAAGAGGTTTATTAGTCCCAATTTATTACTCCAACGGGACTAAGAGATACCAACCGGGAGTAAAGATCATCTTTAGTCCCGGTTTGGCCTCTGATAGGGCATGTCAAACCCCTGTTGGGGGGCTAGGGAACTAAAGATCGTCTCATCAACCAAGACTAAAGATATTGCAGATCTTTAGTTTCGGTTGGTGTTACCAACAGGGACTAAAGTTGTACAACTTTATATACTCCTTCTTCCTCCTCCAGCCTGAGCCATTGCTACAAAATGAAGCTTTGAGGGAGGGAGGTGCTGCCAAAATTTTTAGCAATTTTTTTTGGTGTTAATATACAAATTTGAGGTCTCTAAAACATTAGCAACTTCATCCTCCTCTATTTTTTGCTTAGCATTTACATTTAGAGCTATTTTTTTACACATTTTTCCATCTAGAAAATGTGATGGAAGATGATGAGAGAGAAAGTATGTGTAGGGAATATAGAATATAGACAATTTGTTTATTTCGAATTTTATAAATACTAGTTTGAATAATTACATATAATTATTGTATGAATGTTTAATTTTAAAACTAAGTTAATTTAAAATTAAAATAAGTACAACATATTAAATATTTATTTACAAATTTAAATATAATTAAAACATGAATAATATGTGGTATTATTATATAATAATGATTGTATGAAGAATTATATTCAATTATTATATCATTATTTAATGAGTTTGTATTCCGTGAATTTTATATATTTATGATTTATATGCATTTCATGTAGATGGATCGGCAATGGATGTACGTGGACCAGCGGTTGAAAGAGTTTATTGGCGGCGTGCATTATTTTTTGGGTGTGGCCAATGATAACAAGCATAATGTTTTATAAGCTGTCCATGCAACAAGTGCAAAAAACAAAAGGTGTATTCCACTGCACGAAGTATTCATTCCCACCTGTTTCAGTGGGGGTTCATGCGTAGCTACAATTTTTGGACCTCGCACGGAGAGTTAGGGGTTGCAATGGAAGAAGATGAAGTAGAAGATGAGTAAATTACGGACTAGGCTCAATACGGGGGATTTGAAGAAAACACAATGGGCGAGGCCGAGGTGGATGTTGAAGGTAATGACGGTGCTGATAAACTTGGTCAAATGTTGCGGGACGTACAGGAGGACTGCGAAAGTGAAAAGGAGGTGCAGAAACTGGAGCGCATGTTAGCGAACCACAGAACATCGTTGTACCCAGGTTGTGAGCGGGGCCACAAAAAGTTGGGTACCACCCTGGAATTCTTGCAATGGAAGGCTAAAAACGGTGTGAGTGACAAGGCATTCGGCGAGTTATTGAAACTCGTAAAGAACATTCTTCCAGAGGGGAAAAAATTGCCCGAAACAATGTACGAAGCTAAGAAGACAGTCTGCCCTCTAGGTCTGGAAGTACAGAAGATACACGCATGTCCAAACGATTGTATCCTGTATCGCGGTGAGGAGTACAAGAACCTGGAAGCATGCCCTATTTGCAAAGCACTACGATACAAGATTAGACGAGATGATCCAGGTGAAGTTGATGGACAGCCTTCGAAGAAGAGAATTCCTGCTAAGGTGATGTGATATTTCCTTATAATACCAAGGCTGAAGCGGTTCTTCAGGAACAAATCACATGCTAGAATGATGCGGTGGCACGCAGAAGAACGTAAACAAGACGGGATACTGAGACACCCGCCGACGGGTCATAGTGGCGAAATATCGACAGAACATTTAAAGACTTCGGCGAGGATGCACGAAACGTGAGATTCGGTTTAAGCACGGATGGAATGAATCCGTTTGGAGAGATGAGCAGTGGCCATAGCACTTGGCCGGTCACCATGTGCATCTACAATCTCCCCCCTTGGCTATGCATGAAGCGGAAGTACATCATGATGCCGATTATTATTTAAGACCCGAAGCAACCTGGTAACGACAGTGAGGTGTACCTAAGACCATTCGTTGAAGATTTGAAAGTGCTATGGAGGAAAGAGGGTGTCCCCGTGTGGGATGAGGACAAGCAGGAGTATATTGAATCACTTTTTTGTTCTAAATTAGATATGCATATTAAATCTCTCGTTGTTTCTCCTTCAGTGTGCAAAGCGGGATCAGGGGACTAACTTGTGTGGCTACTATGTATACTAGTATATGCACTGCCTAGCACACCAAATCAGGACTGGCTAGGACCTAGAAGTACATAAAATTATTCATCCATTAATTATTGCTCCATTAGCTTATTGGTTTCATATATATAATCCCATTTTTTTCAAATGACTGATGATTTACATGATAGAGAACCTCACCCATGATGATTTCATAAGGGTTGTTCAACAACAAATGATGGGATTCATCAACAAGCAGATTCTCGCTCCCACAGGAGAATTATATAACGATGGAAAGCCTATTCATCAAGCCGGTCCTTCTTCCGATCTCACGAAGTCGTAGTATATGACAAAAACAAAAATTACAAAGTCCGAAGGAATTGTCATACATGTATATATTTATATATGCACACATGCATTTACTTTTGTGTGTACTTATTTTGGTAATATATGTGTATATTTACTTAGGTGCAAACTCATATTTTGTTAATATATGCATATGGCCTCTACTTACTTAAGTGCATATATGTGTATATTATATGTATTTCTACATATGTATGCAAATTGCATATATATGTGTAAAAACATATAGTACACATATATGCACTTAAATAAATATAGGCCATATTTACTTAAGTGCATATACATATATGTGCATATACATATATATATGCATAGATACATATAGTGTACACATATATCACTACAAGAAATATGACCTTCTGTGACGAATTTCTCGTGACGTCGGAGCTATTCGTCATTAGCACATTTCGTTTTATGACGATTAGTATGAGATGGGGTGGCTTAGTGACGAAAAAAAGATGTTCGTTGTTAATACCAACTAGAAATCGTCATAAAGTATTGGGACATCATGAAGAATATTAATTTGTCATATATTTATATAATGCATTAAATATATTAAAAGTTAAAGCAATTTAATCAAGTGAATTAATGAAGAAACTAAAATTTTCATATAAAAATCATGGCCGAAAATATTTTTTTAATATCCTACGTGGGCTAAATTATACTCTAAAATTTTCCGTGAATTTTAGAAGCTCAATAACTAATTTTAATACCACAAAGTTTATTTAACCTATTAAAATAAATAGAAAACAAATTAAAATCACTCACTTGGTCCTTGGGCCTTTTTCGGCCCAAGTATTACTCTCTCCCTCCCTCAACCCACAGCCTCTCTTTCCCTCTTGGGCCGACTTCCCCTTCCCCTCCTCGCTCTTGGGCCGCCAGCCCAACCCCTTTTGCTTCTCCCTCACCGAAAAGTCTATTTTGCCTCTCTCCTTTCAATTCAAATAATTTTTCGGGTAGTAAATGATTTCAGATGAAAACAATGTCAATAACAAAGTTGTATAACTTATCAAGATCTATAACTTTTGTTTTGGTCATTTTGCTATATGACTTTGTTTTAATAATTTGAATTTGAATATCAAATTATGACAACTTCAAACAACATTTTCAAGTACTAAATGATTTCAAATGAAAAATTTATTAACAACAAAGTTGTATAACTCATTAATATCTACAACATTTTATGTGTTTGTGACGTAAATGAAACGTCACCTATCATAAGATCTCTTGTAGTTATGTATATGTGTAATATATACATTTTTATATTATGCATATATATGTATTTAAACATATATATGCATATATGTATAGGCAGCACACAGCACAACCAAATTAAAAAAAATAAAAAAAATATCTTTAGTTCCGGTTGATAACACCAACCGGGAAGTGGCTGAGCCATCTTTAGTCCCGGATGGTGTTACTAATCGAGACTAAAGATGGAGCTTTACTCCCGGGTATTTGAACCGAGACTAAAGACCACCATCTTTAGTCTTGGATTCTCCCTCCTAGTTCGCTACCCGGGAGTAAAGGGGGTTGCGAACCGGGAGAGATGAGGAGTTCTCCAGTAGTGAGTGTTACACTATGAACAACATGTGTAACTTTTGGAGCTTCTCAACTTTTTTTTGGCTTATGTGAGATATAGGTATGACTCCACTACTAAATTTAGGATATTAAATCCACCGACTTATGAATCATATAAGCCAATAAGGGCCTTATCGGATGGCATGAAGCTTTGGCTGATCAGCTAAATCTGCCAAATTCAATTCAGCCAAAGAAAAACCATTGTTTGGCTTATTTTGCTTATATGGCTGGTGAAGGATTTTCTATGGCTGGTGGTATTGGGATTTTTATTTTCTGTGTATGTTCACTAGAGAGTTTCCATAATTAGCCACGACTGATGATCCAACTCCCTTGCGGGTCCCACTTGTTTGGCTGAAAAGCCTCAGCCCAAGCCTCAGCCAAACAAGCCATCCGATGAGACCCTAAGCTAACTTAAAACCTAAGCTAATAAGTCTAAGCCTAAATAACGAGGCTTTATATAGTTAGCATTGTTACATTTGTGATTATTGTACTTGTGAAAGTACATGAGTATTGATTATATGTGTCGAGGAATGATCCTCTCTAGCGGGTGATCGTGAGACACCCCTTTTGTGAGTTCGGCCGGGGGAAAGGGCGCGTTGATAAGGATCGTATGTCCGCCTAGAGTCTTCCGAGACCGCGCGTGAGAGCTGGGATTATACAGGTTCGGGCCGCTACGGAGCGTAATACCCTACTCCTGTGTGTGGGATTTAGGATGGAGTGTTACAAAGGTTCCTAAACTCCAGGGAGAACTCTAACTCTTCTTCCCCTGGGGCTCAGGCTAACTGAGAGTCGTCCCCTCCTCTCGGTGAGGAAGGTCCTCCTTTTATAGTTCAAGGGGATACCACATGCACCGCCTCTACCTACTCCTTCACGGGAGGGGGACCCACACCGCCTGGGTCATACCGCCATTCGTGCCTTCGCCCGGAAGCTAAGCAGCCGTCTGTCCTTGAGTGGGACCCAGCGTCGTCCCCCGCCTGACACGAGGGACGCCCTTGTCATTCCCCTTTAAAAGAATGGAGACTTTTGGCGGTTCACCTCACGTGGAGGGAGCTCCTGACGGTACATTGATGGGATGGAGCATAACTGCCCCCACTTTGCTGAGCACAGGGTGGAACGTGGGGGCACCGCCGCTCGTCCGATCGGATGTGACCGGTCACAGACCGGTCACAATCCGGTCAATCGGGCAGTGCTGCACGACCGCCCTCACCGCATTAAATGTGGCGAGGGACGGTTGGGGCACCGCGCATTGATGGCGGTCCAGCTTCGACCACCGCCCCACTCACTCCCCTGCCACGTGGCGGCCGGATGAGGGCCTCGGGGAGAGGCAACCCGAGGGCCCAAGGGGCGCGACGTGGCATCCCGAGGCCCCCTGGCTGCCTCAACGTCGTCCGAGGTGCGGGGGGAGGGCAAGGCTGCATGGCCGCGTGGCTGGATGGGAAGGAGACTTCCCTACACTTCGCATACCCCCGGGACCATATCACCGACAGTAGCCCCTGGAACCGCGTCGGACAGTGGTCCTCTGAGGGCGGTCTAGCGCGGTGCCTCATGACTTCCCGTGCCATGACTGTGGGCCCCGCGGGGAGTCAAAACGGCCGCCGCCGGCTGGCCCGGCTCGTGCATCAGCCATGATGACGACTTGACCGCTACTAATTGCGCCACTCACGGTGGTACTTAGGGCGCGAAAATCGGGGGCTCTGCCAGACCACACCCAGAATTATCACTCGACGTCGCCTCGACTCCCCCGCTTCTTAGGCAAGCGATGGGACTAACGGTGGGCCCGCCTAGCCACAACCGTGGTCATCGCACGCCCCGCGCCGAGTGCGCCACTGGCAGGCGCATTAAATGCGGGGCGCGGGATTAGTGGGGCGGACGGGACGAGTGGGCGCGAGAACCGAGGAGGCAACCACAGCGGCGAGAAACGAGGAGGCGGGCGCGGGCGAGGCGTGGATAAAAAGGAAGAGAGGCAGAGAGTTCGTCTCCTTCCTTTCGCTGACTCCACACTCGCATACTCACACCTTAGCCCCCAGCGCTTCTCTTCCTCCATCGTGTTCCGTGCGCCAAACTCCTCGCCGATTCCCGCCGGCTATCATGGCCCAAGACGCTGGCAACGCCGTTCTCCCGGCATCGCACATTACGGCGGAGAGGCACCTTAGCCTCATATGCAAGATCATGCCGGAGGATGCCGCCGTGAGGGCAGGGGAGACGCGGCCGCGGCCGCGGTACCTGGAGCGGTCCGTGCACCTCCTGTCCTTTGCCATGGCGGGGTTGATCCCGCCGCTCTCTAGGTTCTTCTACGAGGTCTTGGATTTCTACGAGATCCATGCCTTGCATCTCGCTCCCAACGCTGTGATGACGCTGGCCATGTTCGCGCACCTGTGCGAGATGTTCGTCGAGGTGCGGCCAACGTTGTGACTGTTCCAGTTCTTCTTCGTCCCACAGCTGCAGCAAGGCGCGGTGGTGGGAGGATGCTACTTCCAGCCCCGGCCAGGAGTGGCGGGGCAGTACATCGAGAGTCACCTCCGCAAGAAGTGGGAGGACTGGAAGAAGGACTAGTTCTACACCGTGCTGCTGGACCACCAGCGCCTCCGGCCCCCCGCTGATCCTCCCGAACGATCTACAGGCTGGCTGGCGGTCTCGGAGCTGGGCAAGGAGTACGACGCGGTGCGGGATCGCCTCAGGGGCCTGCGAAGCCGGGGCCTAACGACGGCGATGGTGTTCGGCGACTATTTCCGTCGTCGCATCACGCCTCTCCAGGAGTGGTCCCGCGGCACGTGGGAGTATACCGGGTACATCGACCCCATGCGCACCCAAGTGGGCGAGCGCTGGGATTGGGGCGAGGAGGACGCGAAGACGGTGGTTCGGCGGGTGCTGGGCCTGGACACCATCGAACAAATGCTGGTTCTGGATGGGATCCTCCCTCTCTGCAGTGACCCCGACCGAGGGAATATCCTGGCTGTGATGACGGCTGTCGGCGCTGGTAGGGGTCGGCCCCGCCGGGGCGCCGTTGGCGGCGGTGGCAGTGACGGCGTAGGTAGCAGCAGTGTGACCGCGGGTGGCAGTCGGACCGGCGGCTCCGGCAGGGGTGGCAGCTCCAGGACGCCTGATCTGAGCCGTGGGCCCGGGGGGACTCGGCCGTCGACCCGAAAGGGAAGCGGAAGATGTCTGAGTCTCAGCCGCCCTCCCCCCCCCACCCCCCCGCACGGAGGGGGAGCCGAGCAAACAGTCGACCGATCACCAATGGGCCATAAACGCCCCGCCGCGCCTGAGGCAGGGCGGAAGAAGAAGCGGCTCTAGAAGATAGGGCAGACAGAGCCGTGTCGGGGGAGCTTCGTCGAGCCTCCGAAGTGGACGTTCAAACGCCCCCTTCGCAGGTACGGTCATCAATGCCCGGCCCGATGCTCTCCATCCACTTTAGCTTCTTGCTTCTTCCTCTTTTTTACTTTCTTAACGCAACTAGGGTTCTCCTGTAGCGAGATTCCTTCCCAAGGGGCCTCGGCGTTCGAACACCCCCAGGGGTCGAAGCCCGAGCGACCGGGACAGCCGGGATCTGGCTGATCCGGTGCTGCGGAGCCTTTGCAGCCCCCCGGCGTGCGGCCCGCGGGCCGCCCGCCGGGTCCAGCTCCGAGTCCACCACGGCCGAGACCGCCCCCTCGAGGGAGGAGGGGGCGCAATTCGCCGTGGGCGATAGCGGCACCGAAGCACCCATCTGGGGCGATCCCGAGGGTGCAACCTACGAGGAGCGCTGCTCGGGAGCGGAGACCGAGGCAGGACGCGGCCCGGAGGTCGAGACGGGACGCGCACCGGGGGCCGAGGTGGGGCGTGGCCCGGAGACCGAGGCTGGGCGCGGGCCTGAGCCTGAGGCCGAGGCTGAATCGGCTCGGGGGCCCAAGGCGGAGGGCGACGGCAGCAACCGTTCTGCTCTGCACCTGGGGCGCCCTCCGGGCCGGCCACGCGGAAGGGGGACTGTCGCGACCGGGAAAATTGCCTTTTCCCGAACGCTAGTGTATTAATCCCCGTCCCAGGAAAAGCCGGGGTACACCATACAAACATGATATAAAAGACACATCTTTATTATATCGATAATATTTACATTATTACAAAGGCACTTAGGGCCTGACAATCAAAAATAAACGGCAGCGGACTAGCGGGCCTACGGCTCCATCTTCATAGGCGCTCAACTGGGGTATAAGCCAGGACTCCACCTAAGACATCTTCTCCAAAGCTTCTCTTACTGAAGAGGGGAAGGATTGAGCAAGAATGAGTACAACCACAGTACTCAGCAAGCCACACCGGCAGATGCATGATTAATGCAAGGGAGGTACAAGGGAATAATAATATAGGGATTAAGTTTTGCAGTAAACAGCATTTAAAAGTCACTTAGTTGCCCAAAGCCATTTTGTAAAGACGATTCTAGAGCTACACAGTGTTATTAAACAAGGCCGTGAACCCTCACGAACCTGCCTTAACCCAAGGCCTACGATGATTTGGACCGAACTGGCAACCCGACCTGGGTTCCAGCTCGTCCCAAGCCAACCCAGGCCAACCATTCCATATTTTAGTTGTTGAGCAAATTTTAAGAATTAAAACACTGACTTGGGTACATTGCTCGGCTTGCCCATATCCGAGGGCTCGGCTATTCGAATAGATTTACTCTGATCAGAGGTGTACATCTTTACCCACAAGACACATCTTTACTCCGCATTCCATGGCCTTGGAACCCGTCGTAAAGATGTGACATAGTTTCCAACCCATCCTAGCCTTAGACAAGAGTACCGACCCAATCCCACCTACGGCCGGGATACCCGGGACAGGCAGGCAGAACTGAGCCCCTAGCAGCAGGGCACCAACCCTCTGCCGTATGACATCTCGACTACCGGGCCGCAGCTCGTGTAGCCTTCATTTGCCCTGGAGAATGTCCATCGACGCCCGACTTCATCCATCTCCAATCCGTGTACTTTTGTTTACGACTAGACTGAGCCACAAACTAAGCCTTACCCATTAGACATGTGGAAGTACGGTAGTGCTTTGCAACAGAGGCCTGAGCTTCATCCTTATAGTGGCCGGGGTGCTACTTCCCACAACTGGCATGCACCCAAACCCCACCGAAAACAGGTTTTAGGGGTTTTGAAAGAGGAAGAGAGGTGTATGTCCAATTCCACCATCAACCAATAATTCCATAGTGTCCAAATGATATGAGACTTCCCAAAGTCTAAAGTTATAAAACCACCTAATGTTGCCTAATTAACCAGCGAAGCATCTACCTAAGTTCATACTAGTGGAACCATAAATAGAGTACTCACTAGTTGGGGTTTTGTTTAACCTAGGGTGAACAAAGTAATAATAACAATAACAATAATAATAAGGTCATAACAAAGGTAAATAGGTATGGCTAGATAAAACAGTGATAACGCGGGAATTTAAATAAAGCGGTAATGCAATAATTTAAATCAACATAATTTTACAAACTGGGATTCAATATGATCAAGGATGATGTGACTTGCCTTGCTCACTTTCCCAAACGCCGGCTTCAACTTCCACGAAGAGCGGATCTTCCGAAGCTGCAGCGTCTACACGACCAACGGAAAAGAAAAGGCTTTTACTCTAATAAACTCCATACAACAAGCAGGAACAAAGCACAAAAATGGGTTCTTTACTTCTTAAGGAAAAAATTAGAGACTTGAACGGTCCAATTCCGAGTTCAAATGGCCAAGATATGGCCATTTGAAGTTTATATGCTCTTTAAATGGATATTTACGAATTTCTTCATTTAATTTTCAATTAAAAAATCCTATTTATTGCGTCAGCCGAGGGAGCGGGCGCGCGGACCGGGTCCACGGGAAGTGGGGCCCACGCGTCAGCCCCACGGTCCACGGTGGACTGGGCGCACGCGGCTGGCGGCGGTCGGCGCC